TACCACGAGAAGGACGAGGAGGAGGAGGACGAGGAGGAGGAGGAGGAGGACGAGGAGGAGGACGAGGAGGAGGAGGAGGATGAGGAGGAGCAGGATGAGGAGGATACGACGCTGGCTGGCGAACGCCGCGCTCCAACCGAGGGCGCATGGCGTGCACAGGCGAATGAGAGGTCGCGAACGACCGCCCGAGTGCCAGAGAAGGTCAGCAGCTCCCATCCGCGGGATGGCGGAGCTGACGCTGGCACAGCAAAAAGGTGGAAGAGGACGGAAGCCAGAAGAACTGAAACGCCGCGGGGAGCACACCGAGAGGGGTGTTCCGCTCTCGCGGCACTAAGCTCCGTCCTCAACATGCAAATCAGAAACTCGGTTCGCTAGGAGCCTGACCCAGTGGGTCTCGGGGTCGGCCACGTGGAGAGGGCGAGGGGCAGGGATCCTGCGCGAATCCTGTCGCCCCTCGTCCGCAGGATGAACGCCCGCCAAAAACTGCTTCCTGTTTCGGACAGCCCTCTCCGAAAGACGATGGGCAACACCGAGGGACGGGCAATCTACAAGTAGGTGGCCCGCCGTGCCAAAGGTGAACATGCCATAGGAAACACACAAGCACGCATGCCCCGACGAGACCCAAAGCCGAGGGCCCCTGGCCGCAAGGGCGGGGACGGGACCCGTTTCAGGCAAGGCACATGCGGGCACCGTACTGGCGGCCAGCGTAGGTCGATCCCTGCGTTGGCCGCCAATACTCCCACGCTTGTCAGGTTGAAAATGAAGCCCCTCTCTCTCAGGTATGCTGAGGGCCTGGACCATTCAATCTCTTTCTTCGGAGACGGGATCGTTGACGCAGACAGTTGGCTTGAAACTGACCCGAGGACGCAAGTGGCGCTCCTGGCTTTGGGTGGACGGACTTCGGGACCTCCGAAGGCCACGGGAAAACGGCGCCGCCACCTCGGGTCCGAGAGGCCCAGTGCGAGATCGAATCGAACGAACGAAACCCAATGAGGATGAGGAGGAGGAGGAGGAGGAGGAGGACAGCTGAGGAGGCGGCCGAGTTACGATCGCCAGCCAGCCGCACTTCGGGTGCGAGCCTTCGAGGCCCCTTCGTCGCTCGGAGGAGCAGGATGAGGTAAAGGTAAAGGCGCTTGGGGGGTCTGGCGGCTGGTCAGCACCTTGCGCCTCCCAACCCACTCCTTTGATGGGGGGTCACGGCCGAGCCTGCGGGAGCGACCTCGGGGTCACATTGGTCCTCTTAGGGCCCCGCTTTGACGAGGGTCCCAGAGACGCCCGACCAGGTGTGAAAGAGGGAGGCCGCGAGCAGGGCCCCACAAGGCCTTCGCCCAGGGCCGTGCTGGCCGACCCTGTTGGCCGCACAGAAAAGAGGAGGTGGACGACCCCACCCGAGCGACGGCGAGCGAAGGAGGCGGAGGAGGAGGAGGAGGAGAAGGAGGAGGAGGATGGCCCGAGGTGACGCCACGGGTGTGTTCGCGCCCAGCGGCCTGCCTAAGAGAAGGAGGGCCTGAGGGGTGCCCAGCTCGCACCACCCTCACCCAGACCCGCATACGGCCGTGGCCACTCTCCACGGCCTCTCGTGAATGGGTGCTCTGGAGGCCGCCGGGACCTCCTTGGACCAGGGTCGCCTCTGGCAGCACCCAGAACAAGGGGTGCCTTCTGAGAGGGCAGGGGGGGGCTGCTTGAAAGGCCGCCCCCGACCACCCCGCTCGCTACCCCATTGCGCGCGACGCCACCCGGGGACAGGCGCCGCAAGCACGGGAAATGGGGGCAGGCCCTGACGCTACATTTTGCTGTCGCCTTGTGCTGCCCCCCCCTCCGCCAGCCCGAGTCGTGCACAAACATACGGCGGCTTGTTGTTGGCTGGCATCGGCCGGGGAGAATAATTAGACAGATCGACTCAGGATGAAGCACCCGGTCCTTGAGAAGGGGTCGAGACCTCTGGGGGTCCACGGCGTGAAAAATCACAGAGTCGGGGGTCTGAGTGCCGTGGGGTCTTTTTGGGCCGCACTGTACGATCTCCATAACCAGACGCCGAACTCGCAAAAGGCATCCCCAAACGCAATTGCCTTGAATGAGCCTGGCCTTTCGTGTCGGCTCCCAGGGCATCAAAGAGAACTCTGTCGCGCCGACAGGGCGCACACGGATAGCATCATCAACATGTATCGCAGAGGACCCGCAGTGGAAAGAGGTGGCAGCGCGGGCACAGATACGCGGCGTGTCCTCCCGCCACTCTATACGTATACCAATACGACCACCCTGCGGGTGATGAGGAGGTTGGGGGTGGAGGGGTGCCAGCAATGGGCAACAGTGGTGATTCTTGCGTTGCCGCTCGCTCTTGGGACCATCGATCCCACTATCGATCCCACTCGATCGATCTCACTATCGATCTCACTCGATCGATGTCACTGTCGATTTCACTCTGGATCTCGCTATCGATCCCACTATCGATCTCCCTATCGATATCACTCGATTTCACAATCGATGTTACTATTCATCTCATTATCGATCTCACTATCGATCTCACGATCGATATCACTATCGGTCTCACTATCGATCTCACTATCGATCTCACAATCGCTTTCGTCATCGGTCTGACTATCGTTTTCACACCAGCGGGACACCGGGACACCGGCGAGACACCGGCGGGACACCGGCGGGACACCGCGGGCCACCGCTTGCCGGAGGGAGAATCATGTGGTCCGGCCAGGACCCAGCTACAAGCGGGACACCGGCGGGACACCAGCGGGACACCGCGGGCCACCGCTTGCCGGAGGGAGAATCATTTGGTCCGGCCGCGCCTCAACCACAGGAGACTTTCCTCTCGCCCGCCCACGCAGCTTCGCCTCGCCCGCACGCACGGCACGCACGAACACGCAACCGAAACCGATTTCCCGCTCGGGGGCTCTCCGTTCCACTTCGATCTCACCCCCCAACCTTCGACATATGTGTTTGTCCTCGCACATCCTCACCAGTCCCGATTCTCCTGCGCCGTCCTGGCTTCGAAATCCCCTCCCTGTATCCGCATCGTTTTGCAACAGCACGTGAGTAGTGACACGACCCTACCTAATCAATATTTGGAGTCGACCCATTCCGTCGATTGCAATGGTTTGAATTGATTGGTACTGCTCTGCATTGCTTCTAATTGCTTGCACTTGTCCACTGCTCCGGGCCCATGCGACAACATATACGTATGTGTTATATGAATGGCGCGTCCACACATGCTGGCGGTCAGACGCCTAATATGTTTTTGCTCGCGCAACTTCCAAATTCGCAAGTTTACCGATTACCCAGCAGAAAGACCACTTGAGTTCAACCTTGAACAGTCGGCGGCTGTTCGATCGACAGATTATTTCATGTTGGCGGATTCAGAACCACTCTCGGCGTTCAACCTTGAACACCCGCGCCAGGGTCCCAGCCGCGTCGGCACGACGCACACCTGCCGCCACTGGTTTCCCGACCGGCTCCAGGCGCCCTACGAACCGAGGAAAACAACCAACAACAACAAAAAAACGCCACGCAGCGGGGCCAAAACCAGGCCGCGTGCAGCAAATCTCGCCCAGCTCGAGGGTCCGCTACACGTAAACACGGTCTACGGACCCGTGAATCTGGCGCGTGCGCGCCAGACCCACGGGCCGGGGAAGGCACCCCCGAAACCTGAGGCAAGTGACCGTCGATCCAACGACGGCGCCGCGCCGATTATGTTCGGTAACGGAACCTGTCACTAACCCAGGCGCCTGAATCCATGTTTGCGCTTCCTCGGAGGAGGAACGCTCCCCGGCGCGCGAAGCGCCAAGGGCGGCGCTGGAGGCGCCGCCGAGGGGCCCCGGCGCGGATCCAAGAAATCCGCGCGGAGCGAGAAATTGTGTATGCAAGTTACTATGTTCCTCAAGCCCTGGAACAGGGGCACCCCGGGCAACACCCAAGGATCGGGAATCCAAAATGGTGACGGACCGCGCGGTGACGTCTCCGGGCGGTTCGTCACCGCACTGCCTTATCGCACTGTCTTGAGACCTCGGAGGCTCTGGTCGCCCGAAGCGTCCTTGGAGAACGGCCCGAGCCCCAAAACCGCGCGGTGACCCTGTATCCCCACTAGCTCACGACACCAGCCCTCTTCCAAATGATCGGCCTCTGCGCCATGACTTGGGCCCCTGTCGGCCGTTCGGGACGATCTGGGCACCCCGAAACGCTCTCGGAGAGGCACAGCTGCTGGAAGGCCTCCCGAGGCAGGACCCCCCCCCAGCAACCCACGCAAACGTCCGAAGACTTCGGAAAACGATCTCTCCACGCGGTCCGGCCTTCACACCGTTTGGAGGGCGTTTTCCCTCAGACTCATGCAATTTCACTTGCATGGCATTCCCCCCTCCCCTCCGCAGCCTTTTCAAGCAACGCTGGGCCGAACAGGCGTATAAGTGATCCCCTCTTTGCGAAGACTCCAGAGCTCCTTTCGGGCCTAGCCAGTTCCGCCCTCCCCCTCATGCAAGCAAACTCGTCAGAACCAAGAGAAACACTACCTCCCACGCTCGGGCACACAATAGCGTGGATGAGGACTCCGTGGACCTGGCGCGCTTTGGCACCAGATCGACGGATCAGGGAGAGTTCCCACCCAAACGGGAGGCCCATGAATCGTAAGCTGGCGAAGAAGAGCGCCGACTCAGTATGGAAACGGGACCCGTCGCTAGCCCACGCGCCGTAATCCATTTTGGAGCGCATGGTTTATTCGCGGCCATAGCGGGCGCTATGGGGGTCCTCCCCAGACGGCGGTGCCGGACGCACTGCGGCAGTGCCTGGGGCGCACTGAGGGGGAGAGCGTTACGTTATGAGGGGGAACGGGAAGGGGGGAGGGAAGGGGGCATAACGCGCGTTATGGGCCAGATGGTAAAAAAAAAAAAAAAAAAAAAAAAAAAAACACTCTTGGCGCTTCCTCGACACGCAGTGTTGTCACCACGCCCGTGGGGGGCCCCCGAGAGAGAAGCGGTCGGCAGCGGCGGGCGGGCGACCACTCCTCGCCCGGCCCCCGCGGCTCGGCCGTAGCGGGCAGCCCCCACAGCTCTGGCGGCGGGTGCGCCAGGGGCGCCCGGAGGGGGGGGGGCGTCGCCGTTGGGGTGGAGTGGTGAGAGAGAGGAGGGAGAGCCAGAGGGAGGGAGTTCGGAGTTCAAGGGGGGCCCTGTCCCACGTTCAAAGGCCCCTGGCCGCGCAGGAGAAACACGAGCCTCCGCGTGGCCAGGGCAGCGCGCCCCGCGCAGGAGGAACACGAGCCTCCGCACGGGGCCGAGGCGCAGGAGGAACACGAGCCTCCGCGCCGCGGGATATGGACCCCTAGCCGCGCAGGAGGAACACGAGCCTCCGCACGGCCAGGGCAGGGGCGCAGGAGGAACACGAACCTCCGCGCCGCGGGATATGGACCCCTAGCCGCGCAGGAGGAACACGAGCCTCCGCGGGCCAGGGCAGGGGCGCGGGAGGAACAGGAGCCTCCGCGCCCCCGCGCGCAGCTCAGATCATCCCGCCGTGCCCGTCAAGGCCGAGCACGTCGCGATGGTTGCTGCGCTCCTCGAGCACAGGGCCTCGAACTGGCGGACGAGGTCCGCGGCCTCCTCACGGTACCTGTCCTTCTCGAAGCCGTTCGTGGCGCACGCCTGCATCAAGGGATCGCTGCTGCGGATCTTCCCCTCCATTGGCATCTCGGGGTCGTTGCGATCCAGGACCACCGCGTCTCCGTCGCTGCAGACCGAGCCCACGACCATCGTCTCCAACTGGTCGGCCATATCCGAGGACACGTCCATCCCCGACAGGTCCGCGACAAGACCCGTGGAGCTCTCCGTGTCGTCCATGGCCTTGTACTCTGCCCGCTTGACGTCCTCCACGACCTTCTGGAGCTGGATCTCCAGCTCGTGGAGCTTCCCTTCCACCGCCTGGATGCGGTTGGTGTCGAACTTCTTCTGCGGCATGTGCTTGACCTCGCCCTGGGCCTCCTGCAACACGCCTCTGGCCTGGGGCCGCCCGAGCGCGCTCACGACCTGCTCGGCGAGCGTGCCGTTAGGATGGGCGACCGCCCTGCGCCCCTTGTTGCAGGCCTCGACCCTGCGTGCCAAGCCCTTCCGGCCCCGCTGGATCAGTTCCTGCTGGGTGACCTGCGCGGACGGCTTGGAGTTCTCCTCCCAATCCAAGGCACGGCCAAACAGGGTGCAGAGCTCCTCGAACTTCTCCAGCATGTAGGAGTCCTTCTTGTGGTCGCCTGCCTCGGCAACCGCCGCCTTCGCTGCTTCCGCAACCGCAACTTGCAGAAGTCGCTCCGTCAGGGCCCGACGGGTCGACAGACCAGCCACCGCACGGAGCACCGCCGAAACATTCTCCTCCACCTGCGCCATGCCGGGCGAAGGGACCACGCGCCGCGCGGGGGAAACCGAGCCAAGAGCCAAAATGGCTTGAGCCAAAATGGTTACGGAAGCCAGAGGGGGGGAGGTAGGAGGAGAAGGGGAGGAGGAGGAGGAGGAGGAGGAGGAGGAGGAGGAGATTGAAGAGGAGGAGGAGGATGAGGAGGAGGGGGAGTGAGAGGGGGAGGAGGATGGATGAAGGAAGGACGGCGCAGAAGGAAGGAGGATGGATGGAGGAGGAGGCAAGGCGGGGAATGCAGGGTGGGAGGAAGGGGGGAGTAGGGAGTAGGGAGCAGGGAAGAAAAAGGCGGGAGCAGGTGGGAACAAGGGGATGGAGGAGTCTTCCTGCTCAGCCTTCCAGAGGTGGGCGCTTGACTCTCCTGACGCCCATCCCCCGCTCCCCCGCCGGGCCAAGGCCAAGCGGGGTGGATGGCAAAGTCACCCAGGGACCCCTGAGCGTTCCTGAACCCTGGCCCCTCCTCACCTCCCCTGGTTCGTCGTCATGCTGCGCGCTTCCTTCTTCCTGTTGCTGGCCACGCGGTCTTTAGTCTGCAGGGCGTGGCGGTCGCCTCCCGTGTCGCCGCCACACCTGCAGACTACCACGCATGCCTTACATGGTCAAATGTCGCCATTACATCTCGGCCTTGCTACGTGTCGGGGCAGGCGGGTGACCCGCCTCCACATGGGCCGCTTCGTCTCTGTGGGGTCCTGGGCATTGGCGCCAACACAAACTCAGGGGGTTGCATGGGGAAGATGATCCTGCATGTTCGTGATGGTGGTTACTTCTCTGCTTCGCGGTCACCTAGGAGGCCCGAATATTACCACCATCGCGGAGATCAGGATTATCTTCCTCGGTGGATTCAACCGCCGATACTGATGCTGGTGCCAGCCTCTAGGTCTCTGATCTCTGCCTCTCATCTCCCACGTCTGCCAGGCATCTACCCAACCACCCCCCTCCCACTCTGGCATGATACCTTGAGACTGCGCCCTCTTCCCTTTGCAACGTCCTCCTCCTGATCGCCAACCTCTCAAAACCTTTCTGGAGACTCACAACTCCTGGGCCACCTAAAACCTCCCTCCACCTCCCTCACGGTTCGTTTCGTCCTCCTCGTCCTCCTCGGACCCCCCCCTACCTCCGTCCTCCCCCTCCCTCCCCCTGCTCCTCTTCCCCCTCCTCCTCCTCCTCCTCCTCCTCCTCCTTCTCCTCCTCCTCCTCTTCAATATCCTCCTCCACCTCCTTCTCCCGGTCCTCGTCTCCCATCAACCTATCTCCTCGTCCTCCTCGTCCTCGTCCTCGTCCTCGTCCACGTCCCCGTCCTCGTCCTTGTCCTCCTCCTCCTCCTCCTCCTCCTCCTCCTCCGCCTCCGCCTCCTCCTCCTCCTCATCCTCATCCGCGTCCTCCTCCTCCTATTCCTCCCTCCTCTCTCCTCCTCTTCCTCCTCCTCCTCCGCCCTCCTCGTCTCCTCTTGTATCCCCGTTCTCCTTCAAACAACTGGCCTCAGGACCTCCCCCTCCCCCTCCTCCTCCTCCTTCTCCTCTTCCTTCATGTTCTTCTCCATCATGGGCGCTGGTGGCTTCCTGAAGCCCCGATCCTCATCCTGATCGTCCTGGCGCTGACGCTGTGGACGGTTCTAGGCCAAGCCCTGGCCAACTCGAAGGCACCCTCCACCCAGGCCGACGCCACCCTAAGAGCTGGGTTCAGATCAAAAACGCCCTGGGCGTTGGTTTAGTGTCTTCTAGTTTTGGCTCTTGACAGGCTGAAAACGCTTAAACGAACGCGACATGGTTTAGCGTTGTTAGGGTAGTGTGTGTGTGTGTTGGCGGTTTCAAGTTCGTCGCTGTGGTACAGCGTATTGTTACGCCTGGTTGCACCGTCGTCGAAATATCCCCCTTGTCTTTTCTGCCAGCTCGGCTCCCGTGCCCCCTGCCCTGCCACCGTTCGCCCGTCTTGCCCCCCCCCCCCATCCCTCTCCCAGGCCGACTCGACGCACCTGCCTTAACATACATGAATTGCGTGCACGAGGGGGGGGTGGGCAACCATGAGTTGCCGCGCGGAGACCTGAACACGCAAACCAGAACAAACAAACGACGCTCTGACACCAATCTAACCCCTGCAGGGGGGGCAATAAGGGAGGGCGGGCTTCCGCGACGAGTCACCAACGACGGCCACAGGACAACAAACTTGTAGCAAGAAGACGGTAGGGATACGTAAGGAGAAGGCCACACGCAACGCACGGATCTGAAAACGCAGGAAACATTGTCTGACAAACGCTAGAACACGCATCATGCTTACCATTCAAAATATGTTGTTGAGACCTGAACGCGCTAAAAGAAATGGTGTCCACAACGCCGAACTGAAAACGCCAACAAAAACGCGCTGGGCATATTTAAGAGGAGCCAAGCCTAAGAAGCCCCCCAGAGGCCCCAAGCAGGCCCCCAGCAACCAACTATACCCCCCCCCCCACAGGCACCCCAAACGCTCCAAGGGGCCTCCCAAGAGCTGGCAAGCGGCCCCATCACGCCCACAGGGACCTGAACGAGTTCAGGGTAGCTCCGCTGGGCATCGTGTCAGGATGGGCCGGTGGGGATACGTAAAGCGTGAAGGGTAGCTCCTGCCAGACGCACGAGGGGAACGGCAGGAGCACGGCGAAGGAGGACGACTGCTCCTCATCTTCCTCCTCCAACGGCGACCTCAGAAACGGGGACGTCGACGCCGTCGACGTCGTCGTCGGCTTGATGTTCCTCCCTCTCTTCTTCCTACCCCCTCCTCCATACCCGATCCCCCCCTTCCTTTTGCTGTGAGAAAAACTAGCAGCAGGGCTGCTGCGTTCCGGAACAGACGGGGAAACCAGAGAGGACGAGTGCGAGACAATAGTAGCGTGATCAATAGACGAGGAAGGCATAGACTGCAAATGAAAAAAACGGCACATGCGGCGATCGCAGACTAGGAATAGGCAGACACCTGGGCATAGCACACTTGCTTTCCCATCAACTCCCGCCCACCCTCCATCCCCGTAACGAGCCACCCTCCTCTGTGTAGCGTGTGCGCGAGAAGGACCGTGCAGGGTCGATTTCAGATACCCTCTGAGGTGTTCAACTCACCTCGGAAGAAAACTTGCGCAGCGCTAGCGTTCCATTGGCAATCGTGTCTATCTGAAGATGCCCGTGATCCTGCCCTCCCCGAAAGTCAGGTGTAAAACGACCGCCAGCCACCGCTGCTGTATACTCACGACCTCCAACTCCTCCTCTTAACTGCCCTCACCGAGGGTCCTAGACAAGTCAAGTTCATGCTTGGGCCTGGCGCTGCTAAATCACGCGTTGGCACGCTCAATATTGCAGCGTTGGCGGTCGACACGCTCATCAGTCCCTACCACCGAGATCCCTCCTCAGCCATCTGCACTCGCCGAATGGCCTGGCGGTCTACATTCTCGCAGCGGTGGACTCTCTCGGTATTTTACTGTCCACGCAAGGAAGGTCCATGCTGGAGGTTGAACTTAAAACGTAAATCGTGGCGGCCAGCAGAAGATACGAAAGTCTGCCAGTGTACCTGCTCCAACTCCAAGTCCTAGCATCATGCTCCTCCTCGTTGGAAGCCTTCACCGAATGTTATCGCTTGAAAGTGCGGCCTGGGAGATACGAGCGCGCATCAACATGTGAACGAAACCCGTCTCCGCAACCACATATCTCCAAAACGCCACCCCAGCCCGTCCTCGGCCCTGACCCAATTGCTGCCTGCCTGTTGCATGTTGGCGGTCGGCGGCGGCGGCTGTGGGGCTGGGCGGGACGCCGCTTGCTCCTTGAGAGCAGCGCGCGTTCCTGGTGCGGCTGATCGAACTTTAGATCACGCACTTTGGTATGAGACGAAGGAAAATCGTCCGTCGTGATCCTGCGGCGACGCTGGAGAGAAAACCAGCAGCACATGTATCGTGCCACATCGGCAGCAACACAACATCGACAACAATCGCGGGGCTCTGCCGAGAACCTCGGTTTGCAGCAGGCTGTGGCCACACCGCAGAAACTCTGCGTGTGCGAAATCCTCCCACCCACCCCCACCCCGTACTACTACTGATTTGTTTCACTACATGTCTCTTCGTCCCTTTTGCGCGAAGCGTGAATATTTTGCAAGGCAGACTACCACATCAATGCAGCCGTAAGCGGCGGCTTCAGGGCTTGCATGCACCAACGGCAAGCGTTTCCTCACACCTGCTGTAGCGCCGACTGTCAGCTTATTGAGACGGCTGCACGTCGCTGGCGTGCATCCAGCGAGGCGAGCTGCTGCGGACAGAGCCCGCACGAGATGATTACACCTGCAAGGGTACTACGCACCCCAAGCAAACGGGCACGACGTCCGGGTCGCGCCGCACCTCGAGCTAGGAGATCCGGAGGGGGAGGGCTCCCGACCATAGTCAAGGTGCGACCAGGGACTTCACGCTCCCGCAAGAGGTCACCAACAAGCGACAGACGGGCAGCCGCCATACTGCCGATGCTGACTCCGAGCCGCTGGGACAGGATGTGCTCTGAGCTAGCCAGGCCTAGGATCGTTTCGAGTATCGGCAGCCACAACAGACGGCGGGCAGCGACGGGGCGGCGACAGGGCGGCGACGGCGACAACATAGCCGCCAAACCGCCAGCCAGGCCCAGACGGCGGGTGGCGACGAGGCGGCGACAGGGCGGCGACGGGGACAACATAGCCGCCAGACCACCCGCCAGGCCCAGACGACGGGCGGCGACGAGGCGGCGTCAGGGCAGCAACGGCGGCAACGCAGCCGCCAGACCGCCAGCTAGGCCCAGTTCCATAGAAGAGAGGTAAGAAACCCTAAGTGCACGACTGCTTGGGAACACATCTTGTAGGGGTCTATGAAGAGGAAGCTGGGAGGGAGGGCTTACTCCAACAACATCGATGCGTCTTGGGTCTACACTGGTCCTCCTCCTCCCTCCTCCTCCTCCTCCTCCTCCTCCTCCTCCCCCTCCTCTTCCACCTCCTCCATCCTCCTCTCAATATCCTCTCCCCCTCTTCTTCCGCCTCCCCCCCCCAAGCCTCCTCGTCCTCCTACTCCATCTCCTTCTCCCCCTCCTCGTCCTCCTCCATCCTCCTCCTCATCCTCCATGCTCCCCCTCCCCCTCCTCCTCCATCCTTCTCAGGTTCTCCTCCTGCTCCTCCTGCTCCCCTGTCCTTCCTCCTTCGCCTCCTCTTCCCATCCTCCTCCTCCTCCTCCTCCTCCTCATCCTCTTCCCTTCCACCTCCTCCTCCTCCTCCTCCTCCTCCTCCTCCTCATCCTCATCATCATCATCATCCCTTCCTCCCTTCCTCCCATCATCATCCTTTCTCCCTTCCTTCCTTCCCTCCCCCCCTCCTTCTCTCCTCCTCCTCCTCCTCCTCCTCCTCCCTTCTCCCCCTCTCCTCCTCCTCCCTCCTCCTCCTCCTCTCCTCCTCCCTCCTCTCCATCCTCCTCCTCTCCTCCATCCTCCTCCTCATCCTCCTCCATCCTCCTCCTCCTCCATCCTTCTCATGTTCTCCTCCTGCGGCTCCCTTTCTTTCTCCTCCTCCTCCTCTCCTCTTCCTCCTCCTCCTCCTCCTCCTCTAATCATCATCATCAGCATCATCAACATCATAATATCATCATTCATCATCCTCATCATCATCATCATCATCATCATCATCATCATCATCATCATCATCATCATCATCATCATCATCATCATCATCATCATCATCATCATCATCATCATCATCATCATCATCATCATCATCATCATCATCACCATCACCATCACCATCACCATCAACATCAACATCATCATCACTTCCTCCCTTTATCCCTTACTCCCTTTCTCCCATCCTCCCGTCCTTCCTTCCTCCCTTTCTCCCTTCCTCTCACCCTCCCTTCCTTCCCCCTTTATCCTCCTCCTCCTCCTCCTTCTCCTCCTCCTCTGCCTCCTCCTCCTCCTCCTCCGCCCCGTGGCGCCCCACGGCCCCGGCCGCCTCGGGCGTGCCGCGGCTCGACGTGCGCATCCGCCCAGTCGCAGCGAAACTCCGCAGGCGCCTCGCGCCACAGCGGAGCGGAGGGGGGCGAGGCTCACGCTGGGGTCACGAGGCCGATCCAGGGTCGAGGATCCAGGGCCGACGATCCAGGTTCGATGGTCCTGGACCGATGGAGGCCCGAAAAAGCAGGATCGGCTGAAGGACGAGGCTCTGGGTTCCGGGCCCGACGGAAGATCGTCGAGGATCGAGACTCGGTCGAAGGTCGAAGATCCAGGATCGAGGGAGTGGGGGGGGTGAAAGGCGGGAGACCCGTTGTCACCGAGGTGCGCGCACGGGTGAGAATGAGTCAGCTCCTCTGCCGATCCCGAGGTGCGTTGAAAGTCGTGGCTTGGGCTGGGGGGTGAGCGAAAAGTGCGGTGCCGCCTCGCCCAATAAGAGGCCGTGCCCTTGGGCGGGCGACATCCGCGGGCGGGCCGTGGGCTGGCTGGTTGGTTTGGTACCCGCTCCGCGTGCACCACCACCCCGCGTTGGGACCACGTGTTCTCGGCTGTGGCCGCGGAGGGGCGGGGCGCCCTGCTGGACTTGGTCCGCTGGCTTGCGGCGCGGGTCGCGCGGCTGAGGGCGGCACCGTCCTACTCCGCCCGCGCTGGCGGGTCCCGCACTGGCGGGTCCCGCACTGGCGGGTCTTTCAGACCTCCTCGTCCTCCTCCTCCTCCTCCTCCTGCTCCTCCTCCTCCTGCTCCTCCTCCTCCTCCACCTCCTCCGCCTCCTCCGCCTCCTCCTCCGCCTCCTCCTCCTCCACCTCCGTTCCGCCTCCTCCTCCTCCTCCTCCTCCTCCTCCTCCTCCTCCTCCTCCTCCTCCTCCTCTCCTCCTCACCGCCAGCATCTGCCCGCACTGATGAGGGCTGTCGTGCACTTGCGCTCGCCAAAGGTGGGGCCGGATCTCGTCGCCGCCCTCGGGTCGCATACCGTTCCTCTCCTGCCTCCCCATCTTCCTGTGTCTCTTCCTCTTCGTCGTTGTTTTCCCTCCTTTCTCCTCCCTCCCCCCTTCGCGTTGTTGTTCCTTCTGTGGTAGTCGTCGACGTCGTCGTCGTCGTCGTTGTCATCTTCGTCGTCGTCGTCGTCGTCGTCTGGCCGTCGTCGTCGTCGACGTCGTCGTCGCCGTCATCGTTGCTGCTGCTGTCGTGGGCGTTGCCGTCGTGGCTGCTGTTGTTGCCGCCGCCGCCGCTGCTACCGTCGTCGGCGTCGTCGGTGCGGTTGGCGTCGCTGTTGGTGCTGACGTTGCCGTCGCCGCTGCGGCTGCTGCCGCCGCCGCCGCCTTCGCTGTCGTCGTTGCCGTCGGCGTCGTCCCCCTTGCCGCCGTTCTTCTCCTCGTCGTGGCTGGGCCACAGGAATTTCATGTAGGCGCGGTTGGAGAATGTGGAGGCTGCAGGCGAAATTGTACCGCGCATTTGAGCGCCGCCAGTGGGCGAGGAGGCAGGAGAAGTGCTGCGGGGGCCCTGGGAACCGTCTCGCAATTGCGACGCCTGGCGCCCGCAGTGCGGTCACGCGCGCAAGGCACTTGCCACACTGCCAGAGCCCTAATCGGGACGGAGTCACGCCTGCCCTCTGCCCAGGGCATCGGCACAACGCGCCCCACTTGGGTGCGCACGACCAGACCAGACCAGGCCAGACCAGGGAGGAGGAGGAGGAGAAGGAGGAGGAGGAGCGATGAGAAGGAGCAAGGATGATCAGGAGGAGGAAGAGGAGCGAGGAGGGACGGCGGGGACATTTTTCGATAGACAGACACGCAACTACGCACATGCATGTACATGATACCGGAGAGAAACCCCAATAAACATCTTTTTCGGGGTTATGGGGCTATAGGGCTCTAGGGCTATAGGGCTATGGGGCTGTAGGGCTGTAGGGCTCTAGGGCTGTAGGGCTATGGGGCTCTAGGGCTCTAGGGCTCTAAGGCTATAGGGCACCAAAGCACCTGGGCACCCCCGGGCGCGGAAATCGGCGGCTCACCTCATCCAGGCACCCGGGCATCCGGGCGTGCCGCCGAAATCGGCGGAGCACCTAATCAGACCATATGAATCCGCGAGGACTCCTACAGAGAATGACGGTTCTTCAGGTTCTTTTTTGTGTAATATGCTGCCTGCTCCTGGGTGTCGCCACGTTGCCGCCAGTGCCGCCTCGTGAGCACCTCGTGGGAGCCCCTCGCTTGGGGGAGGCATGCCGAGGTTGCGCCACGTTGCCGCCCGTGCCGCCTCGTTGGGCCCCCCGTGCTCTGAGCTCACACGACATAGCTGCGCCTTATAGGTTACGCCACACACCTTACACCGCATATATTACACAGCATAGCTTGACTCACGTAGCCTACAGCCCATACCTTCCGCCTCCAGATCACACCACCTAACTCACACGACATCCTTTACACCACACAACTTGTACCGGTTTGTTCTCACGGGTTCTGCTCACTCCAAGCAGCGTACACGCCATAGCTTTCGCCACACATTTAGCTTACAGAACATAACTTCCACCTCAATAGTGCAATAGCGCAATGCTTGGGGTCAAAGCTGGATAGCCTATATATATATATATATGTATATATATACCTGTTATATGTACGTACCAAATTTGTAGATAGTACAGGTGTATAAATACGTATGGTGTGTGTGTGAATGTTTGGGCCCTCGCCTCGGCCAGTCGGCAGCTAGGTGTTGCATCCAACGGATGCCCTTGATCGCAAGATTTGCATCCAACGGTTGCCCTCAATCGCGGATAGGTCGAACCTCGCGAGTTTGGGAACTGATCAGATCGGACCCCACCCGTGGAGCGGAGAGGTTGCCCCACGCAAGCATCGGCACGGCTTGCCGGCCCGTGCCGGCATGAGGGCCGGAGGCCTGGGCAGTGTTGGGTGCATGGTGCCGTGGCGGGAGCCGCGAGCGGTGAGGGCCTCTGACGATTCGTGTGGATTTTCGCCCTGGAGGGCCTGGGCAGCGGAGGTGTGGGGATATTGTGTTCTCTTCTGACGCCGCATCACATCGAGTGCCAATTTAGTAGGGGGCCGCTCTGGAACTGGTTTGTTCCACTCCCAGCATTTGAGGTCACCTCGTCTGGAGACGCCACGCTCTGCCACCAAGGTGCCGAGGTCCACGGTGCATGTGGCTCGCAAGTGTTCTCCTTTATGGTCGCCAAATCACAGAGGTCAATGTCGTTGTGTTTGTGTGTGTGTGGTCAGATTCCCCTCTTCCTCAACGTGTGCGTCGCGGAGTTCGTGGCGATCAGAGGCGGGGTGGAGCTCGCTGGTTGAAACATGATGCAGCCATCGCGCTACCAACAGGAACGCTTAATCAGGAACAAAGGGGCCTGCTGGCCCTGGCGAGCCTCGGCCGCGAATAGGTTCCCCGACCAGACGCGAGGAAGGGCCCCAAGAAAACAGAGCCCGTCCCGAGCGCAGGGTGGTGCTTCTTTCAGCGTGCCGCAAGCGTACCTCGCCGACGTCGCCTCACATCGAGTGCTAGTTTCGCACGAGGCCGCTCTGGAACTGGTCCGTTCCACTCCCAGCACTGGGGGTCACCTCGTCTGGAGACGCGTTCTGCCACCAACGTGCCGAGGTCCACGGTGCGTGTGGCTTGCAACGTTCTTCCATAATCCCTTTCTCCCACCCATCTCCCTCCTCAGGACCTCAGGAGGGAGAGGATGAGAAAGGAGGACGAGAATGAGGACGAGATGGAGGACGAATGCGAGGAGGACGGAGGGGAGCAAAACACACCCGCCGGCGAAGCGATCACACTCGTGCATGCTTCGGAAACAGATCAACACACTAAACTCCGCCGAAGTCTCCGACTGCGGACGCGGCGGCTTCTCGTTTCTCCCGTCCAGGACCACGGACGAGGCGGAGGAGGGCGCAGAGGAGAGGGGGGAAGACGAGGAAGCCGCTCCGCCCCCTTCCCACAGTCCGTGCGAGCCGCGCGCGCGGCATGCCGAGCTCCGAGCGGCGACGGCTCCGCTCGCGATGCGGGGCGGGGTCCTCCCCGCGAGGAGAGGCCCTGGACGGCCACAGCTGCGGACGGCACCGGCCCGGTCGAAGGTCGGGCCGCGGCGCTGCGCTTCCTGCGGCCTTCGACGAGCGCATCGGCTCTGCGATCGAGGCCCGCGGTGGCTTTGCGACGGCATCTGTCCTCCACTTTTCTGCCCTCAGAGGCTTTTCGCTCCCCCGTGCATTCCACTCCCACACACTGCCCCCCCCCCCTTTCCCCTCCCACCCGCTCCCTCTCACTCTCCCCCCTCCTCCCTGCACTCCCCTGCCATTCCACCCCTTCCCCTACCTCAGACAGAAAGGTATGTGTAAACATACACATCTATACGACTACCCGTCGGGTGATACGAAGGTTTAGGGGGAAAGAAACACCTGATGGCAACTGCGATGATTGTGAGGATGACGATGCTGGTGATGCACCCTCGAGTTGGCGACGACGCGTGATGACGATGCTGCGTCGCGATGTGATCTGACTATCGATATATCAACCGATCTCACGTTCGATCTCACTATCGATCCCACTCGAACGACCTCACCATCGATCTCACTACCGATCTCACTCAATCATGTATTGGCATTGAATTGACATTTCGCCCATGGGCGCTTGCGGCACTAAGCGAACTCGCCTGGCAGAGACCGGGTGCATCGACCCCAATGCCGATCTCACGGAGGATCGCCCCTGTCGATCTCCCTTCATCGCGGTCGGTGTCCCTATCGCTTTCTGTCTATCGATCTCACTTGCCATATCACCCTCAATCGATGCCACTATCGGTTTCAGGCGATCAATCTCAGTCGATCCCGTGGCCAGTGATGGTGACATCGAAGACCGTTTGGCGTATCGGGTTCTCTGCGATCTCACCCACAAGTCTCGCTATCGATCTCACTAGCGACGCTGGAAACCACCTGATACGATCGGGACACCACCAGGGCACCATCGGTACACCACAAAGGCACCATGCAGACACCACAGGGACACCGTCAGGACACCATCGGAACACCACTCGGGGCACCTATCGGGAAACTACCAGGACACCCGACACTCCGAAAAGACACCATCAAGACACCAATCGGGACAGCAATCTGTTCACAAATCGGGACACCGACGGGACACCGACGGGGCACCGACCGGACACCAACGGGACACTTACGGGACACCGACGGGACACCGACGGGACACCGACGGGACACCGACAGGACACCGACGGGACACCGACGAAACACCGAAGAAACACCGACGGGACACCGACCGGACACCGACCGGACACCGAAGGCACACAGACGGGACACCGACGCGACACCGACGGGACACCGACGGGACACCGACAGCACACCGACGGGACACCACGGCGGGACACCCCCAGCCACCGCCCGCCCACAGGGGAAAGGGCCGGACAATTCTCTTGCCCCTCACTTGCCACAGCGGAATCTTGTTTGCCTGCACGAACGACACGTACCCGATTCCCGGTCGGGGGCTCTCCGTTCCACTTCGATTTCACCCCCAAACCTCCGATATATGTGTATGTTCCTAGGACACGCTCTCGCTCAGAAGATCATTTTGGAATCTAGCCGAGCGGGTAAAGGCCGCGAAATTCCAGCGCCCTCCTCCCCTATTCCCATCTCGTCCCCCCTTGCCCCTCTCGTCCCACTCCATCCCGCCACTCCGCCCTCCACCATGAGAGCCCACTCTATCGCGCACTCCGACCAGGATCCCCAGGCAGATCCAGCCGTGGCGACAAGGGCCCCCCATGAGGCCCCGAGAGGGCGAAAAATGTGAAACTCAGTCTCGTCCTCAGCCTCGGCCTCTTCGTCGGCGTCGACGTCGTCGGCATCGTCGTGATCGTCGCTGTGATCGTCGCTGTTTTCGTCGTCGTCGTCGTCGTCGTCGTCGTCGTCGTCGTGATTGTCGTCGACATCCTCGGCCTCGTCGTCCTCCTCCTCCTCCTCCTCCTCCTCCTCCTCCTCCTCCTCCTCCTTCTCCTACTCCCCCGTCCCCTGACCTCTGCAGGGTTGCGCTCTGGCCGTGGCGACGAGCACGCCCCCCATGTGCCCAAGAAGGGAGGCGAACAGGGCCTACTACTACCCGCGATCCCTGGTCCTCGGACGTCGATTCCTCTCCTCCCCATTTCTCCTTCTCGTCTCCTTCAGCTCCCCTGGGACACGCGGGCGGGCCTTGGTGAACGACTCCACGGGAGTGACCACCCTTGCGGCGGCGGAGGGGAGACGCGCCCGATGGAGAGGGCAACACAACAGCAGCCTTGGGCTTCGACGCCCTCTGGTTTAAGCATCGCCCTACATCCTCGCTTCCCCCCCCTCCCTCACTCCTGCCATCTCTCCCTCCCTGGTCCCCCTCCCTCCCCTCCCTTCCTGCCTCCCTCTCTCTCCCTCCCACCCCCTCTCACTTGTAATGAATTATGATTTCGTCATTTTGCCATTCCATTCCATTGCCTCTCCCAACCTTCCCTTCCTTCCCCCTTCCCTTCTTATCCGAACCATATTCGCCTGAACTATGGACCCCATCTGGGTATCCATCCCCTCCCCCTTCCCATTTCTCCCTCCATTTTCCGCTCTAGCATATGTTTCTTCTGAAGGTCGATCGTTTGCTTCTATCATGACAAGCCGCTGCCTCAGCTCCACACGCGATTTAGCTAAACTTACCCCGGCGACGTACCCAACCCCTGCGCAATGCGGGGCAGGAGCATGGGAGAATTGACGAGAGGGCGGCGACGTGGCATGGACGCATATACTCCTGCGAGCGGCATTCAGAAGGTCCGCAGGTCCCCAATCGAGGGAAACACGATGAGTAACTAAGTGAACCCCTGAATCACTCAGGAAGACGCAGAATCCAAAAGGAGACGGTGGGCAAGGGACTTGAAACGTCGGCGGGGCAACAACAACAACATGGCATGGCCCCCCAGGGACGGCGAGGCCCAGCTCAGGTCTCCGCTGTGCCTCATTCCGCTGGACCCAGCAGCAGCCTTCGAAAGTGGCGAGCCCACCAGCAGCCTTCGAAAGTGGCGACCGTCTCGCAGATCGCAGCCCCCAAGGGACGGCGAGCTCCCTCTCTGGTCATCGTCGTTGCGTCCCCGCCGTCGGCTGCTGGCGGCCGCCAGCGCCGGCGCCGGCGCAAACGCGGGGGTGGGGACCCCCCCATATATGTGTATATATATACACATATATACATACATACATACATACATACATACATACATACATACATACATACATACATACATACATACATACATACATACACATACATATATATATATATATGTATATATATATATATATATATATATATATATCCGAGAAGGCAGAAAAAAGGGGGAAAGAGAGAGGGCGGGGCACGGGAGGGAGGGGCGGACGGAAAGAGCGGGAGTTTGGGGTATGGGGTGGAATGGGAGAAAGGGGATGGTAGGGAGGGGAAAGGGGAGGGGCGCGTGTGAGCGCAGGAAAAGGCCAGGTAGGTGAAGGGGAGGCGGGAAGGAGGGATCGGGAGATTGCAGTGGGGGCGCGCATCAAGAAACCATGTGCTTTCGTCGGGGCGTCCTGGTGTTTTTCGCTCCGCGAGCTGCGCGGTGACTCCCCGCAGCCATTGAGAAAACTGCTGCGTTCAGGGAGCTCCGCACTTCCCCTCGCGTGCACCTCGCGCGCGGGTTTTCGGGGTTGGGTCTCTTGCGAGGGATTCTTGCGGCCGCGCCCGCATTGCTTGGAGAGGGGAAGGTCGGGTCGGTCGCCGGCGCGAGGGCGGGCGCTTCTGTTTTGCCGCTCTCGCCGTGCACTACGCGGGCACGCTGAAGGAAGGGGGCGCCAAGTTCGACTCCTCTGTGGACAAGGGTAGGCCCTTCGTCTTCAAGATCGGCATAGGCCCAGGGGGGCCACCCGCCCCCATCCTCCATTATCCTTGCTCCTCCTCCTTCATCGATGGCGCGCTGGATGCTGACCGCGAACAATGCCACCTGCGGAGCGCCTCGAGCCTTCCAATCGATTTTCTCGCCTGCTTTCTGCCGCTCCTTCATGGCCTTCGAACTGTCGTCGTGCACTCGTTGGCGCTCGTGGCCTTCCTCTCCAGGTGCAGTGCCAACTTCGTCGTGCTGTTGCCCATGGTGTCCTGCTGCTGGCCCTTGTCCTTCCTGCTTCGCTTGTCTTGCGCCGCCGATCCCTGGGCCGCGGCCCGCTTCGCTGGGGGCGCCATCCAGTCTGGCATCTCGAGGTCAGCCGGCGTGGCCGCCGCTGCCGCCCCCGGGCATGAGTCGAAGTGCCCTCAGCAGTCGTTCCCCCAGCGTTGCGTTTCAGGTTCGGCAGCACAACGGGAACAGGCAGGTGCTGGACCAGATGATTACGGATCTCGGAGTAGCTCGCCCCCTCGAAATCGAACCGGGGACACTTGCAGAAATTCTGTTCGCGAAACAATGCTCTCGAAGAAGCCCCTTCTCGGATCGCACAGTCCTAGACGAAGGGCGCTCTGCAGGCATCTGCTCGCAGCGACCTGCGTAGCGAAAACCCGTTCACATACGATGCAGGCGTTCGGAGGCGTGCGCACGCGTGCAATGTTGCGCGCGTGGCGACTGTGCCGCAGGCGCGCCGTGAACGCCCCCTGCGTTCGGAATGTAGCCCCGCATAGCGCCCCATCCTTCATGTGCGTGCACGCGTGCTTCTCCTCCTCGCCCCTCCTCCTCCACCTCGTCGCCCTGCCCCTCGCAGCCCCCTCGCTCCTCTGCCAGCCCAGGTGGGGCCGCGCGAACAGAGAACGCCGGGGCCCTGTACTCGCCGAAGTTGCTAGATCGATGAACTCCCTAGCCTTGCCCTGGCCAATGCATACGTGCCACGGGGGCCCCGCGAGGTCCAACAGGAGGCCCGCGCGGCCCAGGCGCGCGACAGCCGCGGCACGAAGGTCGGAGCGCATCTGGAGGCCCCAGGGAGACGCGGAACTAGTCAGGCCGAACCCGGGCTCGCAGGGGTCGAAATCGTCGGGCTCGAAATCGAGGAGGGAGAAGAGAACCGCCCAGATATCTTCGTTGGCCTCTGGACGATTTTCCCAAGACTGGCACCGAGAGAGCCTTCTAGTTCTGAGCTCCACGCCACAAAGGGCCACCTTCCAGACATCGAGAACCTGTTTGTTGGGGGGTCATTGTTGATGAGCCGGACCCTGCCAAGATGCCCCTTCCGCGCATTGCGATCCGCCGAGCTACGCCAAGTGCGCGTGCATCATTCTGCCCTGATGGTCGCTCAAGCAGAAAACCCCCATGGCTGACAACATAGTGTTTTGTGCCAGAGAGAGAGAGAGAGAGAGAGAGAGAGAGAGAGAGAGAGAGAGAGAGAGAGAGAGAGAGAAACAATGTGCGCTTCCATCGTCGAGGAATACGCAATGACCACATTCCTCCCAATCTGTAGAACGCAGAGTTAGTCGAGGAGATCCACCCGCTCAACTCGCGCGCGGTGGTCTGCGTCGGTGAAACCGCGGGCCCAAGGTATCTGGCAACGTCAATTACTTTGCCGTCCACCGCGCCCGTTCGACTCACCCATTGCTTGCATGTCGTAGCCCCCGTCCCACAGAAATGAAAGCTGGCGACCTGCTTCTCGTGAGCATGTGTCATTCCGTCCATTCGTAGCGCAGTGCCCAGAGTGTCATCGGCCTTCGCCCACGCCTCTGTCACGTCGTGCATTGTGGATTCCATCATGAAGACGACCGCGCGGTGGAAGTCGTCGGCGTAGGCGCAGCGAGATAAGTCCACCTCTTCGTCATCAGGTAGGGCACCGCGCACCAGTGTGGCCCCGGGTTGGTTGGCTTCCACGCCAGCCGCCCAGTGTCTCATAGGTTTCGCATAGGCGCCCAGGAAGGCAGAGACCACGCGCCCACCAGTCCACCCACTCGCGGCCTCATGTGGAAGGTGCCCTCCTCGGAGTTCATCACGAGGACGCCATCCTTGTAGCGAGCCTTGCAGAGCGCCCAGTCGTCGCGATTGGCGTTGTTATTCAACACTCCAACACCTTGTCAAACAGGCGCCAGGTCCACGCCGTCGAAGGCACTGGAGAGGCCCTTCATCGCGCCGGCGAAGCTGACCCCTGACTGTCGAAGCCGCCAGGGGAAGCATTGTGCAACGAGGAGCGCGCCCTCTCGGCGCTTGTGGCGCGCGAATCCATACGCCTGAGTTGGCATGCGTATCTGGAGTCGCTTCGCGAAGAAACCCTTGCCGATGGCAGGTAGTGAGTGGATCGCGCGTGTTCCCAAAGCGCCAGGTTTGGCGTCGCCCTTGGATAGCCCATGTCCGTCGCTGCGTGACCAGTGTAGCGGCACCAGGTCGGTCCGCCGTATTCGGGCAAGTCCCACCAGCGCCAGCTCTGTGAAAAAATATCACGTTGATTGTTGGCGGTGCGAAGCCCAAGCCGTGGCGCGCGGTGGGCGTCTCCTTGTCCGCCGAGAAGCAAAGGCCCCAGAGCTCCGCAAATGCAGTGTCGGCACGTGCAGCTCGTCGTTCGACTGTCCGTCGGAAGTAGAGGATGAGCTCCGCGTAGTCCTCCGCCGTCCCGTAAGTCCGCTCGCTCTCCTCCGATGCCGTCAAAGTAGGTTGCGGTTGGCTGTAACGCGGTCGTCGCCAGGGGCCCCAGTCCAATTCCTCAACCATCATGCCGCCAGCGCGCCCCTCCCGGTGCCTAACTTCCATCCAGTCCCGCTTGCTGAGCGTAGTGATGCCTGGTCGCCGTCCGTCGCGGTGGTGCGCTCCGAATCGGCATCGCGCAGCTTGTCGCGAGAGACGAGCAGCCTCGTGCATTCGACGACCTCGCCCGGCATCTCGTACTTGATCGAGTAGTGCTTATTTGGCCGCGAGGACAGCGCGCCGTCGTTGTTTGGCCAAGTCGCGCGTGAGCTGTCGGAGTTGTGTCTCGATCGTCTCAAGCTCCAGAGACACGTCGTCCGCGGCAGTTGGCCCCCCAACGTTGCGTTTCAGGTTGCTGGTGTCGGGTAGTGCTGCTCGTGCTCGTCGCAATGCTGCGCGTGCTTCCAGAAGCCGGCGTCGTCCTTCGCAGTCGGCAGCTGTCGGTGCCTGAGATGGTCGTGTAAAGTGTCGGGCCCCCACCGTGCACAGTATCTTCTCGAAGGCCTCCCAGTAGTCGCCAGGTGAGCTGCGTAGGGCGAAGTCGCGTAGATCAAATTCTGCGACCCGTTGGGTCACGTCCGCTAGAAACTCCGCTTTGCCTTCGCCTCTGAGTATAGCCGCCATCATCGCATCGCCATGGAGTCGTGGCGGTGGCTTCTCGTACCATATCTGAAGCAACACCGGCATGTGGTCACGTGGAGGCCCCCCCCGAACTGGTTAGAGCAAGTCGCCGAGGCCACGACCGACATGAGCGCGTTGAAGTCGGTCGAGCCAGCCTCTCGGTAGGGACCAGTAGTCTATCATACTGCCCGTGGGTGGTGTGGCTGAAGAATAAAAAGCGTGCGCGCATGGGCCGAAAGACGTGGCAGAGACCATCCGCTGCTCGACCAAAAGGTTGCGCACCGTCTCGCCCGCTCCGCGCCGTCGGCGTTCGCGCGATCGCGTCTCGCCCAAGGCGGGGCAGGGCGGCTCAGTCCAGGTGCCCATGCAGGTCAGCAGAGTGTGCATCGCAAGAAGCAACAAGGATGTACATATAGGGTCCTCGCGAGTGAACCCCAGGGCGGAAATGCGCCCAACCCCAACGGCCACACCGCCATGAAGTTTTTTTGGACCAAGATCGTGCTTACACAGTCTCCACAACAATTTGGCTTCTTCGTGCTCCAGTGCCGCTACAAGCGCGCGACGCAGACAAAGGAAGGCGAGGACGAGAACATGCAGGAAAGACGTGGATGTCTGTCGGTGGCCTTTCAACGCTCAGGACTTGGAGGCGGTGCGCACGCTATGGCCGATCTTCCAGGAGTGCATGGTGAAGGTCGAGGGGTGCGATCCGATTCCAGGAGCGGCGCCCAGAGGTCCGACGGAGAGGTGGCTGGGAACTCCGGCGAAGTGAACTCGGAGATGGGGCCCGGAGGCCCAGTGGATGAGCGCGGCCAGCATTATTTTTCCATGCCTGACGGCGTCATCGCTCCCCGCCCGCACCCTGACACCTCCTCCCCTCCCCTTGCTAGTTCGGCGCGTCTCAGAGAATTGATTCAGAGAGGGGCCGTGCCGATGGATGTCTTGATGCGAACCTCGCTCACGATCCCATCGCATGCGCAACCCAGGATGCCGAGTGTGCCAGTTATGGTGCTGCCAAAGGCGGCGGCGGCTTTAGCTAGCGCTCGAGGGAAGGGACGCGGGCGGGGTCATGGTCGTCGCGACGGTCGTGGGCGGGAGGGGAAGGGAAAGAGTTTTGCAGAGAACGTGCTCCTCGGACAGATGTCTCTTCCCTCTCCTCCTCCCTCTTCGACGGGGGGTGAGGGGTCCTTCGCTCGCCCAATCACCTTTGCCCGAGGAAACACGAGCTAAGTTTTGGTCTTTTCAGCTGGGCACCCCTCGGGCTGCGAACCCAAACGAGGGGCCGCCTGGTAGAGGCGGCGCGGGTGGCTCCCGACGGGCTGTCCGCACCATCGATGGTGTCGCGAGCTGCCAACGCAGCGCGCAGGGCTTAGTCTCCAGTCGAGCTCGATTGAAATGAAGCCCCATTGCACTATTCTCTTATATTGAATTATCCTCCTCCTCCTCCTCCTCCTCCATTCCTTTCCCTTTATAACTTCTCCCTGTCGCACCCCGAGGCAAGTTTTCAGGGCAGACCAGGCGTTTGCCATTATATTTCCTCACTAGCTATGATTCTAAAATTTACAAATTGGCAACAGCTTCGCAGATGGAGGGCGGGTGGAAAATGTGGCTCCACCCCAGCGCCGCGCACATTCGTTATAAAACTTCGCAGGGGTTTGACGGATTGAGGGCGGTTCATTTTCAAACTGTGGGTCTCGCCATAGCGCCGTACACGCTCTTTTGAAACAGTTTAAAGACTCTCACGGATTCCCAGGATGAGCGTACCAGAAATGGTGTGTTCGAAGGATTCAGGATTATGCGGGTGCAACAGTTATGTTGGTTCGCTCGCGGTGTTGAAATTCCCAAAATGGCACCAAAATGGCGTTCTGATTCCGGATCGTCCAGTCACAGCAGACAAGCTTATCCGTGGCGTTGGAAATCCCCCAAAACGGTATGTTTATCACAATCACTGTTTACCCTGGCGTGCGATGCGTTGATGATCTCAATACGCGGTCCCCAAATGTCCTGACCCTTTCCCTAAGGCCGGCCGGTTTGTCATCCCGACTAGTTTTTCGCCAGTCCCGTGACCTAGCGACGGCCCCCAACAAAGGCCGAGCATGTCAAAAAACCGTCCGCAGAGTTTTGTTTCTGACGCGAGCATACCTGGCCACTCATGCTGTTCTGCTGTATCACACCAGGGTCTGTCGCACGCGGCACCCTTCTAGGGGCCTCCTAGATGGGTCCGATTAGACGGGGTCGGAGAATCGCGCCGCATCGCTGATGCATCGGCGATACATCGAGGATGCATCGGCAAGGCATCGGCGACGTCCACGATGCATCGGCGCCGGCGGCGTGGAGAAAGTCGGGCTAAACGTCGAACCACATCGCCGATGTATCGGCGATGCGGCGCTATCTTCAGTACGGCCATGGCACTGCCAGAAGGAGCAGCACATAAAAACGAATGAGTGTTCCTGGCCACGGCGGGCCTTGTCCACGATAGTAGATTCCCCGATCCACCCCCAAAGAAGAAGGCCCAGAAACCCGGGCCATATCCTGAACCCGAAGTGGCCCTCCTGGCAGGGCGCCGTGACTGTACTCTCTCGGAGGCCCAGAAGCCGGAGGCGCCCTTTTCGCCGCTGCGCCACCGGCGTCCCCCTCGCCCTCTGGGCCCGGACGCGCGCTGGCGCCCGGCAGAGCGCGCCCGCCAGCGGCGGCGGCGCCGAGGCCCCAATCGGCCCCCGCCAGGGAGTACACCGTGATGGCGACGTCGTACGCCGCGGCCGCCCCTGGGCCCGCCCCCGCCCGGCCGCGCTGGTGGGGTTTGAGCGCGAGTGGGTCTGGCCACGAGTGAATCTGAGGGTGGGTGGGTCCGAGTGTGAGTGACTCGGAATGTGAGCGAGTCTGAGTGTGGGTGCGTCTGAGTATAGGGGCATGATGGATATGAAACTGAGTGCGTATGCGTATGATGAGCACGATGCGATCCATCCAGCGCGCATTCCGAGGTTTCCGAATTCGGTGCTGGCCGGTTCCGGCGTGCGTCCGCCTCGGGAGGCCGCCCGCCCCTGCCCCCCAGGCCGTGCCACCGCGGGGCCTCGGGGCCGGGAGGTCAGGGGGTCGGTGGCGCGGGATAGCCGCCCTAAAGTGTAGCCTCCAAGTGCAGCCCCCAAAGTGCAGCCACCAGGGGCCCCCAAGTGAGCGCAGCCGCTAAATGAAGCCCCCACGTGTAGCCCCCAGGTGAAGCCTCCGAGTGTAGCCCTCAGGGGCAGCCACCCCAGCGTAGCCCTCATGCGTAGCCCCCATGCATAGCACCCGAGTGTAGCCCCCGAGTGTAAAGCCCCCAAAAGTAGTTCCCATGTGTGGCCCCCAAAGGCTGGGTCCCTCCATCTGGCCACGCGCGCGAAGGGAGAAAGTAAGACCGTTTGGGCCGCCTCACCCTGATACACGCCCAGGAGCCTGAAGGACCTGCTGCTCTCATCGCGGCGCCTTCCGCCGATTATGGCGCATCGGGCCGGTTTTCGGGCCCCAAGGCCATCAGAAGTGGATCCAGGGCGAGACGCTGCCCCCAGTGTAAGGGCTGAGACCTTTGGATTCGGGCTCCGCCTCGCAGCGCCACAAGAGGAGGAGGAGGAAGAGGAGGAGGAGAAGGATGAGGGGGAGGAGGGGGAGGGGGAGCACTGGGGCTTCGACCACCTGCCCTACACCCGAGAAAGAAGAAAGAGAGGAGGAGCAGGAGGAGGAGGAGGAGGAGGAAGAGGACGAGGAGGAAGAGGGGTTGGAAGAGGGGGGGAGGGGGAGGAAGGGGGGGAGGAGGGGGAGGAAGGGTCTGAGAACTCGTTCCCCACGGACCCCGCCGCCCCGCCGCAGAACTGCGAGGCTGGATGGAGATCATACATGACCACCGTCCGGGGGCCGATGCCCCTCAGGGCCCGGGGGGCAGTGGACATGGATGTACTACAATATCGTTCCCTGCAGCTGCCCTCAGATCCCAAGCGTCGCAAGAACATTATATCGATCGGGACGGCGGATTCGTCTGCGTGTTTGGCCTCGGGGGGCCGTTGCCTGCCCCCAGACCTTCAAAAACCGACCAAGAAGAAAAAGCCGGACACGTGGGGAGGGGGCAAGACCTGCGGTGCCATGATCTCGACGCGTCGCAATCCGATTTCTCCTTGGGTTTTCTGAGCTGCGCGGCTGTGAGTTGCTCGGTCATGGGCGCAGTCCTTTCCTCCTCCCTCTCTTCCCCCCTCGCTCGAATCGGCAAGGGCGGGCCTGCCCACCGATCCACGACCGCCTCTTCTCTGGACGGGATGCTGACCGCCATCTCCTCCCGCGGAGGCGGAGGATCTATGCTCTGGGCGTATTGGGCGTGTGTCTCTCTGTTGCTACACCGGTCTTACCGGTCTTTCAGGAACTGGGACCGTCTGCGGCCCCAGCGGCCCTGTTCCCGCCTGTCGCCGCACACTGTTTCCAAATGAACAACTGTCTGCGGCCGCGGCGGCTCTGTTCCCGCTCCTCAGCGCCGCCAGGTTGCACCCAGTCTCCGCCCGTTGCATGGCAATCGCATTGCAATCCAATCGCACTGCATTGCAGGGCACGGCTTTGCATCGCACCATATTGCTATGCATTCATTTGAACTGCTTTGCATCGCGTCACATTCCCGGCGACCCCGTTTCTGCTGGTCGCCGCCGCCCGGTTGCACCCTCCCAGCTGCATTGCAATCGCGTTGCATTGCATTGCATTGCATTGCTTTGTGTTTAAATCGCATTGTATGGCCTTTCATTGTCTTGCATTGCGCTGCTGTGCATCGCATGCTAACTCGTTGCATTCCTTTTTGTTCCATTGCTATATATGGATTGCGTTGCATGGCGTTGCATTGCATTGCGTTCCATTGCTTTGCATTGGTTTGGCGTTGCATTGCGTTACATTGTTGTGCTTTGCTGTGCATGGCTGTGCTTTGCTTTGCATTGGTTTGCACCGCGCAGAATGCATCACATGGATTGCACCACCTCGACTGTACCACATATACTGGACCGCATCGATTGCAAGATCTCGCTGCTTGGGATCCACTCAGGGTAACAAAACTATTGGGCGTTACCCTGCGCTTCTCCTCTGGAAATCTGTCCTCAGACTCCTCCACAGATCCACCTGGGCCCGTTTCTCGAATGGGATCGGGCCATGGCGACGAGAAGCCCGCAGGAACACCCCTCGATCAAAACACCAGGGAGGGCCACCGGTGTTTCGACTGGCCCTCCTCCGATGGAGGCCCTTCCCTCCCTGAGGGGCAACGATCGGAGGGGGCCCCGCTCAAGAGGGGAATCGTCGACCTGAAATCGGCGACACGTCGCCGATACATCCGTGAAAGGCCCCCAAGAGGGAATCCGAACCTTCCTGGGCGGGGTGGGCTAGTTGGCCCCTGTCGGCGATGCATCCCCCCCTGAGCCTGTCAACCCGTGACGTTGCCCCGTAGTTTCGGGTAGCAACTCGGCTTTTTCCGGCGGCCGTGCGAGCGCGAGACGATTCGCACCCCTGGAACGCTCTCGGCGAGGCGTAGCCGCTGGAAGGCATCCCGAGGCCGGAAAACTGCGGAGAACACACGAGAACGGCCGAAAACTTTGGAACTCGGGGGGCGACGTTGCGCCTGAAGAGAAGGGGATGGAGGAAGCGGGGGGAAGAAAGGAGGTGGAACAAGGAGGAGGGAGGAAAGGTGGTCCTTGTCGTCCTCGCCGCCCCGGGCTCCCTGCCCCCCCCCCCTCCCCGACCTGCGGGCGGCGGGGGGAACTCCACGCCGACCACGGCGCTGCACCTGTCCGCGGGGGCGCGCCACTGCGGCCTCGCGGGCGCGGGCAGCGAGGAGGGTGGCGGAAAAGGCGGGGAGCGGGAGGCGGGGGGAGGGGTAGCGGCGCGCGCCGCGCGCGGAGGGTAGCGGAGGGGCGGGCGGGAGAGGGGACGGGAAAAAGGGGGGAATCCCACCAGCCCTTTAGGCCGCGGGTGGTTTTGAGCGCTTCCTCTTCCACACCCTTTTCTTCTCCTTCGGGGAGGTGCTCATCTCTGCTCACTATTCATAAAAAGGCCCCCTCCCCCCACCCGACCGGCGACGAACCAGGTGCATACCCCCCCGCCATCCATGACCACAACAATGCAACAGGCATGTTGCGACAAACTTTAGTTCATGTTCGGGCGCCCCGTGATCACTGTATGTTCTTTTGTCTGGTATAGAGGCCAAGAAACGGGGCGTCATATTGCCCTGCGTGCGCAGGCCCACCATCTTTGACAGGAGCAACTACACAGTGCACGTTGCGGCAAAACCTCGACCATGCGCGGGCGCTTGGGGGTGCCCTGGCTGGCGCGGTGCACCTCGTTTGCGTCGCGCATCTGGCTGGCGCCTGCCTTGATTACCGATGGTTGCCGAGAGCGGCTCCTGCCTATGCTAAGAATCGTGCGTTACTCAAATGATGGGAGGCCGGGTGGGAGTAATCAGGACGACCTTCCTTCCGGGGGGCAACTCAAACTCTGCTCTTCATATTTGTGTACATATATGTATGTGTATACACCCCCTCTCCCACCTGGCCGACAACCAGGGCCAAAGACTGCACCTTCCCTCAACCGTCCCTGTGGAAAAAACATACAAAACACATGTTTTGTTCTGACCGCGCGCGGGCCCGTTACCCTCTTTGTTTTGGATAAGGATGGCAGGGGTGCTGGCATTGTTGCCAAGCGTGTGCGGGACCACCATCTCTGTGGAAAAATCTTGGACCGTGCGCGGGCCCCCGTGATCAGTGTACACTGTGTTTTTTGGATACGGGCGTGCTGGCACATCGTCTTGTGTGTGCGGGCCCACCGCTCCTGTCAACAGTGAATAACAAACGCACTTTGGGGCAGAACTCGGGTCGGGCGAAAGGGGGGGATAGCAAAGGGGGGGTTTGAGAATCAGCTCACTTAGCTGATTTTCCCGGCGCCTCCCGGCGCCGGAGGTGGCTATGTATCGAGGAACGGGCCCCTTGGTGAGGCCGAAACCAGCTGCATGCAGCAAATTTCGTAACCCCCCCTTTCCCAATCCCCCCCTTTCGCCCGGCCCGAAGAACGTTGGATCATGCGCGGGCACCCCACGATCACTCTCGGAGGAATAATGCAGTGTGCAGTTTGCAACACATTCCTGGCCCACGGGCGGGGGCCCCACGACCACTGGGCACTGTTTCTGGATAGGCGTGCTGTCTGTTGCGCCGGGGCTCACCACCCCCTCTTCGAAAACAAAGGCGAAGCGGTTGCTGGTGTACACACACCATGCGCCATGCTTAGCACCCCGCCGCCATATCGCATTGGCATCTCACAAAAAGGTGGGGGGATCTTCGACAAGATCTCGATGTGTGATGCCGTCTACTGGCGCAGTGGGCGCACTCTGCGCGCGCCACGCACCTGGCGCACATGGCGCGGGCGGAACGCATGGCACACTTGGCGCATGTGGAGCCCGCGGCGCAGCTGGCACGCTGGGCGTGCCTGGAATGCCTGGGCACCTGGGGCGCCGAGCGCACCTGGCGCGCATGGCACACTCGGCACGCGCGGCCTACCTCGCAGGCGTCGTGCGCAAGCGTTGCGCGCATGACGTCTGTGCTGGTTCCTACAAGCTGCCTGTTCCTGTTGTGTGCACCCCCCGCCCGACCGGCGACAAGCCGGGGACCATGACAGCACCCCCCCGCCATCCCTGTCGAAAAACAATGTAAGATTCACATTGCACCCACATCTGGATCATGAGCGGACGCCCCTCGATCACTTTGCATTGGCTTTTGACAGGGACGGCAGAGGGGGCTCGCATATTGCCTGTTGTGTGCAACGTAGAGAGGCCCCACCATCCCTTAACAAAACCATGCCATTTGGACTTGTGCCAAAGAATCCGCCGACCCCTTGTGGGTCTCTAGGCGTGTGAGATTGTTCCCCCCACTATCCCCCCCAGGGACCCCAAACCTCGATTTTGACCCCCCCCTGGGGCCTGGCACGACCCCCGGTTGAACGCGCCACGGGGGAACGGAGGGCCTCACAACGGGCCAAGAGGACCCGAAGGGGCCCCCAAGACGGTCGAGGAGGGCCCAGAGTCGCCGATTTGTCGAGCCGAGACGCACAAGATGGCACTCAGACGGCCCAAGATGCCTCCAAGACGCTCCCAGAGGCCTCCAACAGGCCCCCCAGGCCTTCAAAATCCGAGCGTTCTTCCTCGATTTCGGCCTCTGGGGCCCATTGTCGGGACCCGGAGCCAGAAAGCCTGAATCCAGGAGGGAAACCTACCCCTGGAGGAGGGGTCGGACTGGGGCCGCGGATTGGCAAAGTCACATCGGCGGACGTCTGGGTAGGAGGCATGATGAACCTCAATATGGAATTGAAGCTGGATGGCATCCGCTGTATAGGCCCGAACCGCCAAGAGGTGCACGGGCGAACATTCTCCCTACCAGGGAGCAGGAGGTTGCACTGTGCGCGGTCTCCTCTACAGGGTGGTTGCACTGGCTGTGACACATCGCACAACTCCCTGAAACATAATCAAAGACATGCAGGATTCCTGACCATGCTGCTTTCTCTCAGGGGTGCTATGACATATCACTAAATCCAGTGCCACTGATTGACGATGAACTCTCGATGAATGCTTCGATGAGCTCTGAACTACGCCCGGCTTGAAAGTTGCGGGAAGTAAGCTTCCCCTGTGGCTTGATTATGGATGTGGGACGTTCTGGGTGGCGTCAAAATCAGCGCCCTCCCTACGTGATAACCATAGAAAATAAGGTGTAGATCGTCACGCCCTTCCTTGCCGCTACTCCCCCTCTGGGCCAAACTGAAAGACCCGCAGAAAACGTGTTGACGTCACAGGTGACGGCGTGGGTAGATGCACCATGGCACCACGTGATTGCATGTTGTCCTGATATCTTCGGATCTTCATCATCGGCGCGTCCTAGTTGTACAATATGTTCGAACGAGGTATCCTTCTCCACATCGTGTGTAAATGTTTTACCGAGAAGCGTATCCTTTCACACGAGCTACAGTGTGACATATGCCATAAGAAGAGGCCCTACATGATCGGATCCCTTTCAACATCAATATGTTGGGCCAGGGTGACCGTGTATCTTGCTGACATTCCTGTCGGACTCGCGCTGGGGCTCGGACTAGCTGGCGTAGCCAGGGCCGGTGAGACCATGCCGAAGTGGTTTGGGCTCCGATATATGCGTCGTTACAGCCCGATGCAACCTCTTTCGTATCGTCGACAGACAGTATATGTGCTCCTGCGCTGATGGGTAAGGGTAGCATTACTACCTCGCCCTCTATGAAAGTATCGCTTCCCTCGACGTCAACACCAACCCTGCAGTTCTGAAAAACAAACTGTCGATGCCACAGAATACTCCCAGCAATCCTGTGGGCTAAGGTGGTCTAACGGGTTCTTCCTTTCCTCTTCCAAAAAGCTTCAGGGAGGGGTACTCTCCCGTCCCCTCCCTGAAGATTTTTGGGCGGGGGCCGTGAGGTGGCAGAGGATCTGTTTTCGCCCAAGGTGGCTCCAAGAAAGCCTCCGATGCTCCAAGATGGCCTCCACGGCGGCTCAAGGTGATAGAAGATTGTTCAAAGTAGCTTTCGGCATGGCTCCAAGAGGCCCGACGAGGCCACAACACGGTTAACGCTCTCGGACCCCCCACAGGACACCCCAAGAGGTCAAACATGTTCAAAAACCCTAGGAACGTCAATGGATGTGGCCTTCTCGCCTTGTCGCTTCTGATGCGTTTGAGTCCTCAAGATTGTCCCAAGATGGTCCAAGAGAGCCCCAGCTCCCAAAATGGTACCAAGAGAGCCCAAGATCGGGCCGAGAGCTTCCCATGAGCGCCCCGAAGGGCGATTTTGATGGCCAAGATGGCCCAAAGAAGCCCTGCAGAGCTTCCAAGGGCCTCCAGGAGGGCTGGCTCCAAGAGGGCCCCAAGACCTGCCAAAAGAGCTCCAAGAGGACCCCAAGATCCCCCAAAAGAGTCCCAAGAGGTCTCCAAGAGGCAGTGTTGCGGGCTCTGTCCTCGTCCTCATTGTCCTCCTCCTCATCGTCCTCGTCCGTGAGCTCGTCAACTTCCTTGTCATGTTCCTCCTCTTCCTCGTCGTGGTCGTCGTGGTCGTCGCGGTCGTGGTGGTCGTCGTAGTCGTCGTCGTCGTGGTCGTCGTCGTTGACGCCGTCCTACTCTTCCTCCTCCTCCTCCTCCTTCTCCTCCTCCTTCTCCGCCTCCTCCTCCTCGTCCTTCCCTCGCCCCCACGCGGGCCCCAGGGATGGCCTGAAGAGGCCCTCCAAGGCCAGCTCTTACTCTGGGAAATAATTTTCTGTTCAACCTGGTTGCCTGCTTGGTATCACTATAAATGCGTACCTAATACTCCTTTTACCCGTCAACTCTCACGGGCAGGATTGCTGAGTGGGCTGGTGGGTATACACGAAGCGTGAATACAATGCAGGTGGGGGTGGTTTGAAAGACGTTCGAATGGCGTGAGGAATCATGAAATACTTGATATGTCCGTTAGATTGTTCGTGGAGAAGATGGGAACGGATACCAAGACTCAACAGCACGTGTGCGGAGCACGAACGAAAAAAACGGTTGCGCTTGGAAGCCGCGTTCTTTCCTCACCCGACGTGTAGAAGACAAGCACACCACACTGGAGAAAAGGAACGCGAGATATAAGAGGCAGACGACGACGAGGATGGAGAGCGGGCAGCGTGGTTGCCAAAAACGACTGCCACTCGCATCGGCTGCTTCAAACACTGGCCCAAGCCAGAAGTCCGCCGATACGGCGTGTGAGCTTCTGAGAGCGTGGACTTGAGCTCGCTCAAGCTTCGCTCTGAAGGGGGGGGGGGACGCCATTCCCGACACATTTAGTGCTCGGGAGGCGAAGACGGGGGGAGGACCATTCCCGAGGCCATTCCCGATGCATTTCGTGCCCGGGGGCGGGGGGGCCCACACCATGAAGGAGGGGAGGGGGGGTGGACGCCATTCGGGGGGCCCACACCGTTTCCGACGCCGTTCCGGCGCTCTGACCATTGAAAGGGGGTTGGGGGGGACGCTATTCCAAACGCCATTCCCGACGCATGTCGTGCTTGCCAGACGCCTCAAGACGCCCCAATAGGTGGCAGTGGTATCCAACCATCGTCCAATTCCAATGGGAAAACGACATGTCTGCCTTCACGTTGTTGCCGACGGTCCCAGAGGCCCCCGAGACCGCGTCAAGACGGAAGACGGCTCAAGAGGCTCCCAAGACGACATCAAAACGGCCCAACAGGGCGCCAAGACGGCCCAAGAAGCGCCCAAGCCGGCCCAAGAGGGCTCCAAGGCAGCCCCAAGAGAGGCCCAAGAGGGGGAGCACGAAGCAATAAGCTCCCAAAAGTCCCCAACAGGCCCCCAAGAAGCCCCAAGGAGGCCCCGGAAGGCCCCCAAACAAAACCCAAGAGGCACCAAAACGACCCCTAAGAGGCTTCCCCAGGTCCCTTGCTCAATCCCCTGAGCCCCAATCTTCAAGCCTGAGGATTCTTAATGGGCCCGGACCCCAAGCTCTCAAATCTCTTGGGGCTCCCCGCGCGCCCTCTGGGGCCTCCAGAATGTTCCCGCATGATTTTTCGAGCCCAAGAGAGGCCCAAGACGGGCCAAAAGGGCCCCGAGAGCCCCTCAAGACGGCCCAAGAAAGCCCCCAATCACAAAACGATCGGTCCAAAACGCCCAAGTGGCCCCAAGACGGCCCGAGCAGAATTTGAGACGCCCCGTGAGCCCAACGAGCCTTCCCAAGAGGCCTCGATAGGCAAAAGTCATGCATTTCCTCTGAATTGTTGAATTGTTAAATGTGTGTGTGTGGGGTGGAGGGAGGGTTCTCTACTTTTCAAGCTTCCGACGCTCCCTGCTCTCACTTTTACGTCCTCCCGTCCGCACCCCTGAGAATTCATCACATCATCAACATCAACACCACCGTCACCATTATAAACATCATTGTGGGCACACCGCTATTATCATCACAACCACCATCACCATCACCAGCATCACAATCCTGATTATCGTCGTCGTCGCCACCATCTTCATGCTCTTCACCATGACCATTACGTACCATGATAAACATCATCATACTTATCAGCAGCATCACCATCACCATCACCATCACCATCACCACCATCACCATCGCCATCACCATCATCATCATCATCATCATCATCATCGTCATCATCATCATCAGCATCATCATCGTCATCATCAGCATCATCATCAGCATCATCATCACAACCATCATCATCACCAACAGCATCATGTCGTCATCATCGTCATCATCATCATCATCAGCATCATCATCATCATCATCACCATCACCATCATCATCATCATCATCATCATCATCATCATCATCATCATCATCATCATCATCATCATCATCATTATCTGGAGCGCCCCGGATCGGCGGCACTGGCCGGAGACCAGCACAGTAACAAACACTGGCCACAGAAGCGGCGGGAGGAAGGTGTCGAGGGCCCATTTCTGCCAGTGTGCGCGGCTGAGACGCCATCTCCCTCCCCCTCGTAGGGAGGAGGAGGAGAAGGAGGAGGAGGAGGAGGAGGAGCAGGAGGAGGAGCAGGAGCAGGAGCAGGAGCAGGAGCAGGAGCAGGATCAGGAGTTTTTCCAGCAGTTTCATTTCTCACGTGGTGAGGTAGGAGCAGGAGCAGGAGCAGGAGGAGGAGGAGGAGGAGGAGGAGGAGGAGGAGAAGGAGGAGGAGGAGGAGGAGGGAGGAGGTAGAGGAGTGGAGGAGGAGGGGAAACACTGCAATGCATCCGCCCAAAGCTGTGCTCATGAGAATGGCGAACGCCCGCGGCGCAAACACAACACACACGGGGGGAAAGGCGGAACGAAAGACGATGGCAGCAAGTGGCAGGAGGCCCTCGGAACGGCAGTACAACGACACGACCCCCCACCCCTCTCCACCTCTCTCTTCCTCCTCCAGCCTCCCTCCTCATCCCCTCACCTCCCCCCCTGCTCCCCCTCATCCTCCCCCTCCACCTCCCCCTCATCGCCCCTGCCCTCCCACCTCGTCGTCCTCCTCCGCCTCCTCCCTCCTCCTCGTCCTCCTCCTCCTCCTCCCTCCTCCTCCGCCTCGTCTCTCCTCGTCCTCGTCCTCCTCCTCCTCCGCCTCCTCCTCCTCGTTCTCTTCCTCCTCCTCCTCCTCCTCCTCCTCCTCCTCCTCCTCCTCCTCCTCCTCCCCCTCCTCCTCCGCCTCCTATTCCCCCTCCCATCACGCCCGAGAGCGCCGACGGAGATGCCATGCAGCCCCACGACCAGGGGCACGACTCCACCGACCGCCGGCCACCCCCCCCAGCAACGCGGGTGCCTCAGCCGCAGCACCACTGGCCCGAACTGCCGCCTGCCAGGGGCGGCGCCACGGGACAGTGCCACCTCGCGCGCGGGGGGAGGGCCGCTCCTCGGGCTTGGAGCCGGCTGTGGGGGCGGAATTCACCCAGCGCTGGTTCCGGCCAGCGGAAGGCGTGGGGAGACAGGGGCCCCCTGGGTCGCCACGGCTGGCCGCGGCCCGAGAAGCTGGTCAGTTTCGAGCCCTGGATGGGGTCCATGGGACCGATCCCAGCGAGACCGATCTTCTCTGTGCTTCTCTCCCCCTCTTGACTGCTGTTCTTTGGGCTTGTCCAGCCCAGCCCCCGCTGGCCGCGTCCAACCTCGAGCCCTCCTGGAGTGCCAGCCCCTCGCGAGGTGAGGTCAGGTGGCAACTCCTTGGAGTTCTTTTGAGAACGATTGCGGACTGTTAGGCCCGAACAAGGGGTCACTAAGCCAGACTGAGCCGGATTCAGCAGGCGCAGAAGCCCGAGCAAGTGGGACGAAGCCGGATCAAGCAGGTTCATTGTTAAGTTCAATGAAGGATCTACAAACGTCAATGCTGAATCTGACCTCCCACTAAGTGCATCATAATGAGATCGAACGGGGACCGAACTCAAATCAATCCGGGCTCCTCCCTCGGACGCACTTGCCCAACCCTGGCGCGCTTATGCTTGCTCCTGTTCTTCGGCCTGGGGCGATCAAGCATGGGTGCGGCGCAAAAGGCCGTCCCCCCCGGGAGATGGGCGCCCGAGGCATTGGGAGTGAGGCAGCGCGGGAGGCAGCGAAAGCGGGGGGGGATTGGAGGCGGCGAAGGGCGGGGCGAGGCAGAGCACCTGCCAGGCGGATCCGACCAGACCCACTGGGTGACCCAATATGGTCTCGGACCCCTCGGGAACCGTGTGGGAAACCAGGAAGTCCCCAGGGGAGCCCGCGCCGACGGGGGAGGCGGGTGGGTCGGGACCACCCCGTCGGGCGACCATGGACGGCAGAGGGGGAGGGGGAGGACAAGCTAGGTGCGCTCGCGTCATATCTGACGTCCTACCCCTCCCTCCCATCCCTTACCATGGCGCTGATTTTCTCTATCCGCGGACGCGTGTCGTAGCGGACCTGTGGCTCCGCGCGCGCGTGCGTAGTGGGTGGTGGTGCACGTGCGTGCGTGCGTGCGTGTGTGCGTGGTTGTCGTGGTGGTGGTGGTGGTGGTGGTGGTGGTGGTGGTGGTGGTGGTGGTGGTGGTGGTGGTGTGGTGGTGTGGTGGTGGTGGTGATGGTGGTGGTGGTGGTGCTGGTGGTGGTGGTGGTGCTGGTGGTGGTGGTGTTGGTACTGGTGCTGGTGCTGGTTGTGGTTGTGGTGGGTGGTGGTGGTGGTGGTGGTGGTGGTGGTGGCGGTGCGGCGCGGTGGTGGCGGGCGGATGGGCGCGCGAGAAAAAGGCCCGCGCTGGGGCGAGAACGCCATCCTGAACGACGGAGGTCAAACACCGATCCGAAAATGAGGCCCACGCTGCAGCGGGAGCACGATTCGGAAAGATTCGGGAGCAGAAATGAGGCCGGCGCCTCAACGAGAGCAGCATTTTGGGAAAAAATGACGCCGGCGCCTCAGCGAGAGTCGTTTCCAAGGATTTCCCGGGAATCCTGTGTAAAATCACAGTACGCGGAGGGTGCGCGGCCATCACCCAGACGCCATCAGGGGAAGAGGGAGAGTATTTTCATATTGAGTAATTGTGGAGCAGCACCAGTAACTATCCTCCCTGCCCACCCCTTCCTCTTCTCCCTCCCTCCTTCCGACCTTCCTCCCTCCCTATCTGCCCCTCCTCCTCCTCCACCTCCTCCTACTCCCCCTTCTCCTCCTCCTCCTCCTCCTCCTCCTCCTCCTCCTCCTCCTCCTCCTCCCTGCCTCCTCCTTCTCTACCCTATGATACCGGTTTGTTAGGGCTATAGGGCTATAGGGCTATTGGGCTATAGGGCTATACGGCTATCGGGCCTTTGGGGCTTTCGGGCTATAGGGCTTTTGGACTGTGACCTATAGGGCCATAGGGCTATAGTGCTATGGGGCTATAGAGCTATATGGGCTATGGGGCTATAGGGCTATAGGGATATAAGGCTATTAGGGCTATAGGGATATAAGGCTATAGGGCTATAGGGCTATAGGGCTATACGGCTATATAGGGCTATAGGGCTACTGGGCTATTGGGCTATTGGGCACCCCCGGGCACCCGGGCACCCCCAGGCACCCCCGGGCACCGGGCACCCCCGGGCCCCCGGGCCCGGCCACCGAAATCGGCCACCCGGGCACCCCGGGCACCCGGGCACCCGGCCCCGGCCACCGAAATCGGCCGCTCACCTCACCTCAGACTTATATCCGCTAGGACCCCTACAGAAGCAAGCTCTGATTGGGGAATAAGCCACTCCTCCCTCCCTCCCTCTGCCTCTCCTCCTGCTCCTGCTCCTGCTCCTGCTCCTCCACTTCCTTCTCTCCCCTGTGAGGCTGATGTGATATGCATTAACAGGTCGTGCAAACACAATCTACCCTATCCAGACGACCGCCGGAGAATTACGACATATTCGCTGGATTAATCATCGCATCGGATGGGCGGTCTTAAGAGTGCAGATAAAACAACTTTCAGAATAAACACCCTGACGAACGAAGCTGTTTAGTAAGCGCACCCTCAGGCAGGATACGGTATGTTCCTCGTCCTTATCGTACCACACCCTTTCCCCTCCTTCCCTCAAGCCAGCCCCTTTCCCTCGACGGCCTCTCCATCTCCCATCTGGTCATCTCCTCCCCGCGCTCGCCCTGGGGAAGAACGGAAAACATGCCCACCTGGGCGGCCACAGAGGGCCCGAAGAGGACCCGAATAGACCAGAAATATGCACCTCTGGCAGGCACGATTTCCGCATACGAATTTCGCATACAACAAATAACTGATGGATGTCGGATTGGCATTGGCTTCTGTGAGATTTTCGCACACCCGCCCTCTCATGCTCTGGGAGCCTTCCGGACAGCCGAAGAAGCCCCCAAACTCGCCTCAATATGGCCCGCACGGCTCCAGGCCCAAGGCTGGCTTACCCCTCTGTTGTCCAGTGCCCGGGCCCGGCATTGCATGCGAATGTGAGCCCAAAAACTAAGTGAAAAACATGTTTGGGGCCCAACAGATGATACATATTTGAGCTGCCCAGGGTCGCCAAAACCGCATCTTTCGACATCATGCGGATCAGAACAGGTAGCAACAACGGAACTCTGGCTAGGGGGATCACAAGAGATAAAGAGGGGGAAGAATAATGCATTCTTCGCAGCCGGGAACGGTGCTTCCCCCCCTGAGAGAGGACGGGGGGATCCCCCTCTATAATGAGCAACACCACCCAGGGATCGGCACTAGGAGCTGAAGACCTACGACATGCGACGTCCTGATTTGTTCAATATGTCTTTCCCCAAGGCCGGATTTTCATCCCAAATTGGTAGGTGACAAGGGCCACCGCGCGCAAAGGCGGAAACGGACAAAAAGCTCTACCACGCGGGCACATCTGGGGATTTGCGCCGGGCCCCCAGCCACGCTTTGCACGAACCGCCCCCCCAACCCGCGTCCCAGCGGCCACCCGGGCCGCCGTTCAGGGCTGCGCCGACGCCGACGCCGGCGGCGCCGTCAGCCCAGCATCGATATCGGGACGTCGTACTCGCAACGCCTGACAGCGGATCGCTGTGAGAATCGCCGGCGAATCGAACCGGGAACGGCATCGCGATCGGCCAAAACCAATTGCAAACACGGTCGCGATCCTGTTGAATCGAATCCCACTGAAACAAACAATGCAACGGATCTCTGGGGGCGACGACGGTCCGCCGTCGCCCCCAGAGATCCGCTGCATCGTTTGCTTCAGTGCGGGGCCCCCCCGAATCCCGACCTGCGGTCCTTGGTCGGTTTTGATGACGGCCCCGGGGCCCAGGGATGGCACCATGAGGCCCCAAATGGTGGAAAACATCTGATGTCCTTTCTCGTGCAATGAAGAAAGCCTGCAGATGACGGAACTGGCTGACCCGTGGCGCGCTACCGGCACTCGCTTGAGTCCTGGCTTGGCCCCACAGCAAAGATAATCAAACTATCGCCGGCTGCAAGGGCAGCAAGCGTTAAATTGCGTTTCAATCGGTTATCCCCAGAACGCGTGTTAGCGTTCACGTGTGCTTGCCTACTGAAGCCCCTTCACTACGATGCAGGCGGTGGGATGAATGCCGACACGGTTTGCGTGCTATCGGCGGAGCAGAACGGGGTACACACATTGTGCTAACACACTTCATAAATAGAATCGATTCGAACGTCCGAATTGATTACACGTCGAAGGTCTGGGTCGTGGTCGTGGTCGTGGTCGTGGTCGTCGTGACGACGCCGACGCCGGCGACGCCGTCCGCGACGCTGCCGTCGGCCAGAGCCGGCGGCAGGGACGCACGGAGGCCTGGACCCGGCAGCCGAGCCAGCGCACGAAGGCGTCCCTGTCCGCCTCGCGCGAGATGCACTCCTCGAGGGGCGGGGGCGCCCCGAGGCCCTCCCTGACACGATGCAGACGCTGGGGTAAGACGAAGCCAGGACGAGGATAAACTCGGGTGAGGATGAATCGAGAATCTCTGAGATCAGGCGGATGTGGAGGATAACTCGGGCGCCGCGGCCTTTTCAGAGTGCTCCGGAACGCTCTCATGAGAGCGTTCCGGAACGCTCTGGAACGGATTTATCCTCGTCTGAGCCCCGCCCGATGGGGGGGCCCCCAAATGGTGTGGTGAGCCAATGGGGATTTAGGGCCGCCGCACGGTTTTTGGGACTCGGGTCGCTCTTCAGAGACGTCTCGGGCGACTGGGGCCTCCAGGGTCCCAAAGCCTTGCAGTGACGGGCTTTGCGGTGAGGGTTCGTGGGATTCTGGGGTCATCACGCCGTCTATCACCATACGGGTTTCGGACCCCCCCAATCGAAGGACAACATCGGACTGGGATAAATCAGGAATCTCTGATGTGTGGTGGTTTCCGAAGACGTATCGGGAACGGCGGTCGTTCCAGAGGGTACCGGAACGATCTGACAGCGTTCCAGAACGCTCTAGAACGATTTATCCCAGTCCTGGGCCTGCCCGACTCCGCTATCCAGACATCCGAAGCGTTGAGTCTTTATCCCAGCATTTCCTTACGATTTCGGCCCGCGGCGGTCGACATTGGACCTCTGAACATCCAAAAATGAATCCAGGACGCGGAACTACCCCCATGGAAGGAAACGAAATTCCTCAGGCCGCGGATCGAATACCCGGCTCCTTGACACGAGTGGAAGTGCTGGTCCTCGTCCTCCTCCACCTGCTCTCCTCCTCCCCCTCCGCTTCGTCCTCATCGTCGTCGACCTCCTCCTCCTCATCCTCTGTCATTACGGCTGCCATCGTGGTCGTGGCCGTGGTCGAGGTCGTCGTCGTCGTCGTCGTCGTCGTCGTCGTCGTCGTCGTCATCGTCGTCGTCATTCCTCCTCCGCCCTCGACCCTTCTCCTCGGCGCATGGGGGGATGAGGAGGAGATGCAGGGTGATGAGGATGAAAAGCCACTTAACTCCTAATTAAGCTGCTGTCCTCGTGGGGGGAGGGGGCGGACGCGCCCCGAGCCCCTCATTTTGGCACGAATTCATCCTAATCAATCCTCGTCCGTCACCGTCCTCCTCCGCCTCCTCCTCCCCCTTCTCTTTACCGTCATCATCATCGTCGTCGTCGTCGTGGTCCACCTCCTCCTCTACTAGCCGACGCGGCTGCGCCGTTGCCGCCGTCCTCCTCCTCCTCCTCCTCCTTCTCCTCCTCCTCCTCCTCCTCCTCCTCCTCCCCCTCCTCCTCTCCGCCAATCCCCGTAACCGTATTCGTATTGCCGTCGCTTCCGCCGCTGCCTCCGCTGCATCAGCTGCTGCCCGCATCCACCACCACTGCACATCGCTTAACCGATCCGATCCCATCCCCATGGGCGTGACCTCCTTGGTCACACTGGCCGACTCACCTTCCCAAGTCGGAATATAACGGTTTTTCTGAATCCGCAGGGCCTATCCCCACCTAGGGGGGGTGGGCTGATGGGGCATGTGATACCATGGCCCAATGGGGATGGGCCGGGATGGGGATTGGTAGACGATGCTGACCCACATTGCCTCCATGCGCGTGAACGCCATGGGGCGCCCTCCCTGGAGCTCCACGAAGGTGCCGTTCGGAGGCCACAGGAACTGCCGGAAGCAACCGTTGGCCTCCGGCGGCGGCGCCAGCTCCCCCACTCATGCGACAGCAATGCCAACAACAAACCCTCGGACACTCCCGTGATCTCAACTTTGATGTTCTGCGCGGGTCCTCACGGCGCCAATCAATGCATCTGGCGTTCGCGCTCGCACTCCTGGGCCCCCTAGGCCCCCTCTTCTGGCCGCGTGCGGGCACTGACTGAAAGGTGGGCGCAGAACAAACAAACGGATCGATGCATCGCACGGAACGCGTCGCGATGCGAAGATGGAACAGGCGAGGCCGCTGGCTCGAGGACGAAGAGGACGGACAGGAAACGAAAGGATGGGAGGATCGAGCGACAGACACAGGATGCGGCCGGGGGCTCTGAGCTCTGAGCTGGATAAGCCCAGAGAGAATCTGAAGAAGGGGATAAAAACAAATTCGCACAACATCTGTCCTGGGGTCGACACTGACCAACTTGTTGGGCCGCGTCCAGCCGTGGCGACGGGGGGTACCCCTTCTCCCCCCCTTCTGCTGGCCGAAACCAGTGCTGCGCCACCTCAGCCCACAGGCTTGCTCAAACCTGCATCGATCCCAGACGAACAGGGTGAGGGCACGGTGCGTTCGCATTGGTGCGCCGCTGCCTCGGTGCGTCCCGCCTGCTTTTCGTCCCGACCCTCGACCTCCGAGACGACCCGCTCGTGGAGCGCGGCCGATTTTGGCCGGTCCCATCGGGTAGTGGAGCGTCAATTGATTTGCATGGACAATGCAGTGGTGATGAAAACGACCAGCTTCCCCGCTAAGGGGAGCGGTGACAGGCATCGTGGAGGTGGCGCGTCACAGCCCAAGAAACCTTCGCAATAGACACAGCCCTGAAAACCCGCGCGCGTGGTGCAAACGGGGGGGGGAAACCCAGAGAGCCCCGAGCGCGACAGCTTCTTCAACGTCCCCAGGAAGGTGCCGCGCGGCGTGCGGATCCCAGTACTCCAGCAGTCCATTGGCATTATGAGCGGGACGTATTTCGTGTCACTGTAGCGCGTTCATGTTCGCGACGTTCTCTGTTACGTCCTCGAACATATTCTTCCTGCAAGTTCTCGCATCGACGTGTTCTGGGCTTGTCGCGTACCGGCCGTCAGTCCATCGAGGACCTTCCGAGTTCACCTAGAACAGGCAAGTGCGCTTGAGCTTGAGTGGCTTTCCGAGAAGCTGCAATCGTGGCACACCAGGTGCAAACTGAGTGGGATGTAGGTTATATTGCTAAATCGGCCTTCCCCTCCCTCCGTATCAACATCCACACGTGTCAACATTGTCCCTGGCAGCGCGCGCACGTGCCGTTCGCATCACGATCCAAGTGACAAAGTATCTCGAAGCAGATGCACAACCCCATTGAGAGGGGTGAACACCGATGCTGCCCTATGCGACGCTGTACCGCCCAAAACCAATCGGTTGAGGATGGCCACGCATCGCGTGCAGCTGCCGTGTCATTACTTCGGCCTTGTATTGCAGAGACATGTAGCACACGGCCTCATACGTATTCAAATTTACCCAGCACAATTCCGCATAGCTGCGTCTGATTGCATGCTAACGGCCAGGGCATGGTTCCCGCGGCCGGGGCCTCGCGCAGCACGAAGGGCAACGATGTACCTGAGAGGCCGCGGCCGTCGGTCGTGATGGCAACTCCTACTCCCGCTGTTCTTCCTCACCTCCCACTCCTCCTCTCTTCGTCCTGCTTCTCCTTCTTCCGCTCCTTCCGCTGCTCCTCGTCCTGATCTTGCTCCTGCTCATCCCGACTCGTGCTCCGACTCTTGCCCATGCTCCTGCTCCTGCTCCTGCCCTTGCCCTCGCCCCCACTCCTGCTCGCGAAGGCTCCTCATAATTACTTATGTTTCTACACTGTCCGTTACGGACATGGCCAAGTCTGTTTTCCGCTCCACTCGAAACGCGACCTCCCATGGACCACGGAAACGAATTCGGAGTCCCTGCGCCCGAATTTCCTTGCACCATGGGCGACTGCTCGCTGACAGTTACCAAGAGGATGGCAACAGTGGGACGCTGTGAACGTTGACATGGTTTACAGTTGGCCTCATCTCAGCGCCTTGCTGCTCTGCCCAGAGAGCTGCGCCCCCGCTTGGGTGCGGCGCGCGTCCGCTCGCCAGCGTATCCCATCGCGCTCTCCGCACCCCCCGCCCCAAGATGACACGTGAGCGATGTGCGCGCCCCGCACCCGCCCCACCCCCCCCCTGCCCCTGCCGCACCCTACCTCGGCTAGAAGCCTCCCAGATGGGGTCCAGATACGGAAGATCGGCCCGCATCGCCGATGCATCGACGACGCGTCGATGATTCATTGGCGACGTCGGCGGTGCATCGGCGAGGCCGGTGTGGAAAAATCGAACTCCACATCGAGCCGCATCGTCGATGCATCGGCGATGCGGCGCGATCCTCCGACCCCATCTACTCCGGACCCATCTAGGAAGCCTACATTGTCGTGTCCTCTATTCCTCCGTCGTCTGCTCCTCTCTTCGCCAAGCGGGGTACCTGCGGGCTGGCAGAAAGTGCGTACCGCTTCTCCCAGCCTGGCTTGGACCCGTGGCCGACGCGGGCGAGCAGTCCTCCTGGATCGATCCCAACCTCCGTCTTATTCTCCGACTGGTCCTCCGGCTGGCCCCTGTCGCTCTATCGCTGGCAGCGGTTCCAGCTTCGAGCCCGCATCCTCACCCTCATCCTTCTCATTCCCCTCAAACTCTCCCTCCTCCTTTTCCTCCTTCCCCCTCTTGCTCCTCCCCTTCCCTCGTCTAATCCCCCCCCCTCCCCCACCTCCACCTCCAATTCCCCTTCCACCCCCTCATCTTCCTCCTCCGCCTGCTCCTTCCCCTCATCCTTCTCTCCTTCCCCCTCCCTCCTTTCCCCTCCTACTTTTCCTCCCCCTCTTCCCTCCTGGGGGCGGCACGCTGCCGATCGTCTCCGCGCCGCCGGCCGCACAACCCCGCTCGAATCCTCTCCCCTCTTCCTCCTCTTCCTTTTCCTCCGCTTACCCCTCCTCTTCTTCCTACTCCTTTTCCTCCGCATTATTATCATCGTTCTCCTCTCCAATATCCTCTTCCGTCCATCCCGTTCTTACTCAATTCCTCCGTTCGTCCGTTCTTCCTCCTCCTCCTCTATTCTTCTGTTCCGCCGTTCCTCCTCCTCCATTCCTCCCTTCCTCCGATATTCCTCCTCCTCCTCCTCCTCATCCTCCTCATCCTACTCTTCTGTTTTCCCCTTCGCTGTTCCTTCTCCTCCTCCTCCTCCTCCTCTTCCTCGTCCTCCTCCTGTTTCTGATCCTCCTCCTCTCCTGTTATTTTTCCTCTTCCTCCTCCTCCTCCTCATCATCATCATCCTTTTCCTCCTCCTCCTCCTCGCCTCGGCCAACCTCCTTCCCACTTCCACCCGCCTCTCCCTCACCCCGCCTCCCCCTTCCCCCGATACCGCACGGTCCTCCTCCCCGTTATCCACGTTTCCCCCCTCTTCCTCCCACTCTCCCTCCTCTCCCTCCGCTTCCTCCTTTTCCTCGTCCTCCCCCATCCCTCCCTCCTCCCCCTTCTCTTACCGACAACGGCCATGGCGGCCCCATGGGCTCCACCAGCAGCCTCGATGTCCTAGTCCACCACCACTACGACCTGGGCCAGCTTCGTGTTGAAACCAACTCCACGGGGACACTCGGGCAGCACATGGACACTGTTTCTGGAGGGAGAGCCCTGTTCGGGGATTACCGAAAAGGAGCGGGCAGCCTGCGTCACAGGGAGGAGGAGGAGGGAGAAAAGGAGGAGAGAGCCGGGAGGAACCGGCAGGCGGAGGAGACTCGGGTACGGCCGCGGGGAGCGCGCCACCCAACCCCGGCGCTGGTCGCCGCGCGCGCGCGCCGCGCGCGGGCAAAAAACGGGCAGCAAGAAGAGGGAGGCACAGGGAGAGGAGGGGCTGGAGGCGGGCAGCTTCAGCGAAGGCACGGTGCACGTTCGGCGCGCGAGCGAGCTCATGCAGCACGCCACGGATAGCAGCCCAAACGATTACGGAGGAAAAGGAGGGAATGGGAGGAAGACGCGGCGGAGGAGGAGGATAATGAAGGAAAGAGGAAAGAAATACCTAAGTGACGCACTGATTGGCGGCAGCACGCTACGGCAATGTGACAGGCGCGCACCTGCGCGCAAGCAGCGCGCCGCGCTACAGCGGATTGAAGCGCGACTTTCGGCTCCTGCCGCGGCGCTGCGGCCAGGGCGGGCGCCCCGGCGTCGCCTCCCGCCACGACCGCAAACACGCGGACGGCGGCAAGGGCGCCGTCGTCAGCCGGGCCGCCGATCTCGAACGCGAAAGGCGCCATGTCGAGACCAGCGTGCCGGTGGCGTTTCACCCTCTCTTCCTGCGCAGCGGCCGGGATGCGGCTGCGCGAACCCGCGCTGGGTCCCAGTGGGCGCCCGGCAATGTCCGGCGCCGCGCGCCCGCCGTCGTGGTCGAAGACGACGTCGAGGATGTTCCTGGGGAGGTCGTCGTCGGAGGCGTCCTGCACACTCCCCGCGCGCAAGCTCTCCGCGCGCTGCTCCTTCATCGCTCTCGGGTTAACGTACGTGGTGGCGACATTCAACAAGTTATCGCGGATCCCCCGCCACGTCTGCGCCCGCTCTGCGCCCTTCCGCGCGCCTGAGACCAAAGGTTCACCCCGGCAGCGCTCCGCGCGCGCTCTGGCTTCTGGCGCGCTGCCAATGCGTCTCCGCTGGCGCTCAAAGGAGGAGGTGGCCCGCGGCGCACAGCGGCTGCCAGCGCGGGGCCATGCGCCGAGCTCCGTCGGCCATCGCGCGCGCCCCCGCCGGGGGTGCACAAGAGAAGCCGCCCGCGCCTGGGCCGAGCCCCCCTGCGCAGCCGGGCCCTGCGCCACTCGTCCGAGAGCTTGTCCAGGAGGCGCGCGCGCCGCGAGCGCGACGGCGCCCCTCTAGTCCCCTCGCAGGAGCACCGAGGGTTCTGTCGTGTATTACAGCATCGGGCTGCTCTGCAAGACAAGTCTCTGCCCCGCAAGCTCAGCTTGCGCTGGCTAACGCAAGGCGGCCTCTAGCCCAGCTCTCGCGTACAAAAGAGCCCCCCCCCTGCAGTGGTGCCCGAACTGGCGTCTCCAGCCCGCAGACGCGGCAGCTGCAGCTCGCGGCAAGGCCTGACCAAAGCCGGCCCGCCTTCGCGGGAAAGACAAGTCGCTGTGTTTTCGCTGCGGCGGCGCGAGGCCCGCCCCTGCGAGGCCCCCCCGAAGCACCGCCGCAGGCTGGGCGCAGCGCGCCAGCGCCGCTGGACCCCGCGAGCACGAGCGCAAGAGGTGCTGCGGAGCACCCGCAATCGCGCGTCGCAGGATGGCCCCCGCGACCTGGCAGCGAAGACCCGCCCCTCAGGGTTGCCGCGGTCGCGCGAAACAAGCAATTGGGCCCGCGGCCTTCAGGGGGCCCTGCCCCGACGGACCGAGACCAGTTTCCAAGCGGTCAGCGGCGCAGCGCGCCCCCGAGCACTGGGGGGTCGGAGACGACCAGCGCCCGCCGCGGCAGGCCCCGAGCAGACGCATCGGCTGCAAGCCGGGATGCGGTTCTGTCTGGGGCCAATTACGCCAGGGCCGACCCGGGCCCCCACGACGCCGCGCGAGGCGGCCAACTGCGCCGCATAGCATGGCCCGCGCGGCACATGTCGCCTGCGCACGCGACAGAAGCATCGCTAACACAAAAAAAAAAAACGAAATAAGAAACTTCGCGGCGCCCAGGCAGCTTGCCCAGACCACGCGGCCCCCGGGGGCGTCGAAAGCACCCCCCGCGGGCGCGCCGGGCAGCCCGTCCACGACGGGCGCGGGGCACGGCGCTCGCGAGCCCGCTGCCGGCTTGAGCGGCGCGCCGGCGGGCGCTTCCGTTGGCGTTCTGCAAGTCTGCGCGCGAGGCGCGATGCTAGCGTCGGCGACCACCGCCCATCCACGAGCGCGCCGCAGTTGCCCTCGGCGTCGCGCGCCTCCAAGCTTTGCGACGCGCCGGACGTCGCAGGAACGCGCGCGCTGCGGCGGGCCGGGCGCTTCCGCTGGGCTCGCGCAACGCATGCAGGGGCACGGGGAGATGGCGCCCAACTCGGGGGGCGCCGAGCCGCCTAGCCATTGCCATTTCCTCGAGGACTTCGCCAATACGTTCTCGCGCCGCTCGTCCCTGAAGCACGCCTGCCAGCGCGCGGACCTGTCCTCGCCCCGCCCGGCGGAAGCACGCGGCCTGGACCCCCGCGGCCCCCTCGCCGCCACCACCTGGAACTCGTCGTCAGAAATGTCGAGCAGGGCGGCGACGAATGGCGCCGCCGCGGCAGGGCCCCGGCGAGGAGGAGGCCGCGCAGATCCCTCGCAGCTCCTGGAGAGCCCGCCAGAAGGGGCCCCGCCACGAAGGCCAGCAACGGGTCTCTTCTGGGCGCCATCTTCCACCAACTCGCGCAACGCGCTCGCAGGTTGCACAATTGCGCCCCCCGCTGCCTGGGCGGACGGCCCGTCGCAGCGCCGAGTCGAGAACGCCCAGCTGGCCAGCCTGCAGCAAGGTCGATCATTTTACTATGGCCCTCCGTTTCGCGTTCCGCCGCGCGCCCCCCCCCCTGCTCCGCCGCGCCGGAGGCCCTTCCATGACAGGAGGCGGTCGACTATGCGCACGGTTTTACAAACGCGCAGCTGCCCCGCATGCGCCCCGGCACTGTCCGGCGCCCCGAGCAAATCGAGCATGCTGGCTCTGCGCTGCGCCGGCGGGCCCTGGACCTCGCGGCGAGCGTGCCGCGGACTGATCGAGCAAGGGTCGCGCGTCCACGGAATCCCACCTAATCGGATCAGGACGCGGCCATGCTGTCGAGGGCGCAGCGGGCGCCTGCGACTCCAGCATCGCTGGCCGAACATCTCCCCCGCCCCCACCTCCTCCTCCTCCAGCTCCTCTGGCAACTTCGCCGCCGCCGCTGGCTTCTTCTCTGGATCCACAGCGCACATGGCAGAAATAGCGCCGCTGAGCGTGATGCGCAGCCCTGTCGAATCGTGCATCTCCACCGCCGAGCGCCCCGCGGTGCTCCACGCACGCGGGCCGGTGTGCCCTGTGAGGCTCCACCGACATGACCCATCGGAGGTCGCGTGCACCTCTCTGCACCTCGCCCTCCTCCTCCTCCTCCTCCTCCGCCTCCTCCGCCCTTCCCAATCAGCCGATCGACCTCCGTCTTGCCCGGCCCTGGGTTCGCGGCTTCGCCCGCGCGCGCGCAGCGATGGCCGAGGCGGCTTTGTGGGCGGCGGATCCCCGCATCTTCCTCCTCCGCCACTTCCTGCCCTTCACCAGCCAGCGCGCCATCTGCTCCTCCCGGCGCTTCACCCGAGGGCTCGCCAAGGCTCATCGCAAGGAAAGCCCGGCGTGGATTGAACTCGATTGCGTTCCAAATGGCGGCCAATATTGGGGGCGCCATCCAGGGGATCGCAAGCGCAGTACTCAGCGCTCACACGCGGGCGCGCTGTCAGCAGCGGCGCCTGCGACCGCCAAGCCCAGCCGCCAGCTGGCGCGAGCGGCGATCGTGAGCCCGCACTCTTGGCCGAACATCCCCGCGAGATCTAAGACGCGCGCGGTTCTCTCCAGCAACGTCGCCTGGCCGCCCACAGAAAGTGTCCCGCGACGCACAAACCGACGAAGGGCGCCGCCTGATGGCGGGGCGACTCTGGCTCGTCCCCCCGCCCCGGCAAAGCCCCGCCGCCTCCCAGGTCGAGAGCGCGGAAAAGAACAGGACAGCGAGCAGCTTTGACCGGCCGCGGACGTACCAATGCCCTGGGGGGGACCAGCGCCTGGGAAGCACCGACCGGGCTCTCACTCCTGAAAGCGTCCTGTTCGTTCTCCTCCGCCACGCTCCCCGCGGGCTGCAGGGCCTGGTCGCCGCCGCCATCCTCGAACCGCCAGCAGCTTCGGATCCAGCGACTCCAGGCGCGGCGGCACTGCGACCGCCTGGGGCGGATGCCTGGCTGGTCCCGGCAGCGACAGCCACCCCCTTCACAATGTTAGATTATTCGGGTATGGCCTGGTGGCGCACGTCCGCGCCCTCCTCTTCGCGCACCTGCTGCGGCTGCTCAGCGGCTGCTCCTGCACCTCCTTCCCTCGGCGCCGCGACGGTCGCAGATACAGCAGATGGAGCGTGGCCCCCGCCTGGACGCCGTTCTGCGCGAGCGTGCCGTCGTTTCCACCACATCGGCCGCGTAGGTCACGCGCTGTTGGTCGGGGAGGAATCCTGCCCTGGAGCAGATTTGCTTCTTGATGGTCGAGACGTTCGCGTTGGGCTTTCTGCTCAGGATGATGGTGGGCTCCAGTGTATGCATCGGGTGAAGGACATCCGTCTCCAGCTCCACGAGGATCTGCAGGCCCCCCTGCCCGCGCTGCATGGCGATGAAAGCGCCCACGCACTTCGCCGGTATCCCAGTGAGCGCCGGCCTCAGAGTCTGCACCGCCTGGACCGCCCGGCGGTTCTGCCACCAACCCAATCGCCGCTACCAGCGCTGGACGCAGGCAGCATCCGCGTGCGCGTGCTGGCACGGCTCCGACGCCGAGTACAACTAACCACCATAACCATGCGCGCACCATCGGCACATGCGCGCTCGTCGTCCCCCCGTGAATCCAGCAAAACCGCCGTGCGTAAAATTACGAAACGTTGAGACTTGCTGCCGAAATTGCATCACCTCTACTCGAAAAGCCTTCATAATGAGGGTTTTCCGCTAGTTCCTGCTCCTCATTGGGCCCCATCCTCCTCCCTCCCTCCCTCCCTCCCTCCCTCCTCCTCCTCCTCCTCCTCCTCCTCCTCCTCCTCCTCCTCTTTCTTCCTCGCGCGAGAGAGAGAGAGAGAGAAAAACAAAAGAGAACAAAAGAAACAGGTGTGCGGCCGGCCCACCCCAGAGGCCCGCGGAGGCAGGGCACCGATGAGCGCCCCAGGCGGCTGGGCGCCGTCGCCGTCGCCTGAACCGCTGGGCTCCGCCGCGCCGCCGTCCTCCGCGGCGCCGATGGCGCCCTCCTGGTAGCTCTGCCCGGGGGCGGCGCGCCCCCCCAACAGTCGGGTGCTGCTAGACGTGCGCCTGGCCCCCCAGGATCTCCCCCACGGCCTCCAGAGCACCCCATCACGAGACCCAGAGGGCCACAGGGGGCTCCAAGATTGAGCAAACAGCTTGGGGCACCTTGGGCCGGGGTACCTCTAGCCACCCCCGAAATCGGGCTGAGGATGAACTCGGACAGACCGGATCGGCATGGACCCTGGCCATCGGAGGCCCCAGTCACCAAAGACGTCCTCGGAGAACGGTCCAAATGCCAAAATCGGATCGGACCAGGCAAGCCGCCGTCGACACCGAATCGGATCGATCGAACGGAAGTGGGCCCTTGGAAAGGACTGGGGGTGGGCGTGGGGCAGGGCAAGGGGAGGAAAGGTGTGCTCTGGGGGTCTCAAGTGTGTGTGGTGTCAGACCGTGCGATGACCTCGGAATCCCCGACAACCCCACCGTTCGGCCAGTCACCTCACGTGTTTGGGACCTCGGAGACCACAGTCGCACGAGACGTCCTCGGAGAACGACCCAAGACCGCCGACCCTTTGGGGTCACGGCGTGTGAGATGCTTCCCCCTCCCCAAACCCTTCCCCCTGGGGCCTGGTTCGGTTGGATTGGAAGGGGGAGGGGGGGGGGGCACATCCATCATCCGCACACTTGGAGCCTCAAGAGGCCCCAAAACGGGCCAAAAAGGTTCCAAAGGTTCCCGGAACGGTCCAAGAGAGCTACGAATCGACGAAAGATCGCCTCAAAACGCTGAAGATTGCCTCCACACGGCTCCATACGTCCCCAAGACGTTTGAAACAATATTGCGAGGCGCCCCAAGGAGGCTCTCCATAAGCAAAAATCGTCCTATTCCCGGAGGAAAAAATGCATGTTCACAACATTTGCCCAGTCGGTTTCCACGCGGCGCAAAACGGCCCAAGAAGCCTCCAAGATCGACCATCGCCAGCCCCAGAAACCATAGCAACGGCCCAGGAAAGCCGCAGGACGGTCCCAAGAGGGGTCCAAAACGAGACAAAAGGCCCCCCAAAGGCTGTACAGACGGCCCACGCGGAGGACGATTCGGTCCAAACCACCCAAGATCACCGCCAGACGGCACCATGGGTGTCCAAGACGTTTGAAAACGCGACCACGAGGCGCTTCAAGAATGCCTCCACAAGCAAAAACCGTCCAATTCCTAAGGTCAAACGTACATGTTCAACACATTCGCTTCTTGGGCTTTCACGAGGCTCACAACAACCCAATATACCTCCAAGATCGACCCCTGTCACCCGAAGAGGCTCCCCAAAAGGCTCCAAGACGGCTTCCGGGCGATCCACGAAGGCTCCAAAAACCATAGCAACGGCCCAGGAAAGCCGCAGGAGGGTCCCAGAAGGCTCCAAAACATGCCAAGAGGGCTCCCAAAGGCTGTCCGGACGGCCCACGCGGGGGACGATTCGGTCCAAACCGCCCATGATTGCCTCCAGACAGCCCCATGGGCGTTCAAGACGCTTGCATACGCGACCACGAGGCGCTCCAAGCAGGCCTCCAGAAGCAAAAACCATCGCATTCCCGAGGGAAAATGTACATTTTCAGCATGTTCGCTTCTTGGGCTTCCACGAGGCCCACAACGGCCCAGTAAACCTCCAAGATCGACCTCTGGCACCCCAAAGACTCTCCAAAAAGCTCCACGAAGGCCTCCGGGCGCCCCACGAAGGCCCCAGAAACCATAGCAACGGGCCGGGGGAACGGCAAGACGGTCCTAAGAGGGCTCCACAACGTGTCGAGAGGGGCCTCACAGGCTGGCCAGACAGGCTACGCGGGGGACGACTGCTGCCGCCCCAAGGGGTCGGCGGTGTGGCGTAAGCGAATGAATCACCACACGGTGGGTCACCGCATGGGGGTCTCAACGGGCCCCAAGACGGCTCCAGATGGCCCCAAGACGGCCCAAGACGGCCCTAAGACGGCTCGAGATGGCCCCAAGAGGGCCCAAAAAGAACCCAAGACGGCCCAAGAGGGCTCCAAGAGCGCCCACAAGAGCGCCTCCAGAGGCCAAAAACATTGATTTTCCTTACGTTTTTGAAAGATTTTAGCTTTCTCGCCTTTTTCGCCTCTCCGGAGCCCATGACGGCCCGAGCAGCCTCCAAGATGGCCCAAGAAACACCCAAGGGGGCCCCAAGACGGCCCCAGAGGGCCACAAGACGGCCCAAAGAGGCCCCCAAGACGGTCCAAGAAACCCCTGAAACGGCCCAAGAGGACCCCAAGAGGGCCCCAAGGCGGCCGCGAGAGGCCCCCAAGACGGCCTCCGAAGGGGCGAAACGGCGCGAAAGCGCCCCAAGACGGCCCAAGACGCCCCCAAGAGGCCCCAAGAGGCCACCAAGAGGCCCCCAAATGGCCCCAAAAAGCCCCCCAGAGACCTCCGAAAAGTCCCCAAGAAGCCTCCAAAAGGCCCCAAAGAAGCCCCCCAAAGGCCACATAGCGACTGGAGTGTAATATTATTTCCCCCCCTGGACGAACTGCGGCGCAGCGCCAGCCAGGTGGAAGTTGGTCACGGCGGCGCCCATGATTAGAGCCAGCGCTGGAAGGGAAGATGGGGAGGGAGTCAAAAAAGGGGGGGAAGAGGCCAGAAGAAGTCCCCAAGAGGCCCAAAGAAGCTCCCAAGAGGCCTCCAGGAGGCCCCCAAGAGACTCCCAGAAGGCCCCGCGACGTGACTGTACGTGCTCCGGACGTGCACCCCGCGAAGCGAGAGGAATCACCACACGGTGGGTCACCGCACTGTTTTGGTGGACCCCGAGTGCCGAGCGAAACGACGGCACAGAGCAGGGCACCCCTGTCCGCCGAGCAGGACCGAGGCTCGGCCCTCCTCAGGATGCACAGCGACGCCGTGCGAACACCTTGCCGCGTCGGATCGTCAGGGAATCGGAATCGAATCGGATCGGGCTGAGAGGAATCGATACCGTTTCGGATCGACCAGATCGGAATGGACCCTGACCCTCCCCTTCTTCAACCCTGCCCACCCAGCGGGAGAGCCGCAACTTGACATCCGAGACCCCAACAGCCCCCTCCGTAAGAGGAAGCCATGACGTGGACAGATCGTGGTGAGGATGACGCGGACAGATCCGGGTGAGGATGACCTGGCGGACCTGCATGACGCGTCGGGCTTTGCGGCCGTCTTCAGAGCGCTCCGGAACGCTCTGAGAGCGTTCTGGGCCCGCCTGACTTCTCCAGCGGGAGAGGGCTCCAACAAGGGGGAACGAACGTTAGGGGGAACTGGCTGGGGGGGCATCAAGCTGGAATCGGCGATAAATCGCCGATAGATTGGCGATAAGACCCCCTGATAGCAAGTCCGCACGCTCCTGGTGAGGCAAGCTATCGGGCCCCTACCGGCGATCCATGGGAGAGTGGGGGTCGACGCATCCCCCCATCAGCATTTTCCCCCCGTAACGCCGCCACTGAGGGGCACCGCCCTCCTACAGATTACAGCCAGCCTGCTACCATACAGAGCGCTCCTTCTGAGGGGCGGGGTGTCCCATGGTTGCACGAGGATCGCCGGATGAACAGACACCATGTCAGACCCTGACGGAGCAGCGAGCCCCTTCCGAGCCCGAGCTGCTCCACACTTCAGCGTCTTGGCTCTAAGCAGTACTTTCTTGGGGGCTGCAGCAGGCAGGGGGACGAGCAGGGCACGGGGTGGGTCTGGGGGTCAGGGTCGTCCCACCGCCCGAGGCAGAAGAGGTAAGCAACCCCCACAAAACGTACGCGCCAACAACGTACGCGAGAACAGCTGGACAAAAAAAACTCAAGCAACGCGTGCCCTTGACCCCACCCCGAGAGAGGTGAAACGGCATATACCATAACCCATAACCTCTCAGAGTTCGGCGCCGACTTCTGGGAGGCGCCGAACTCCGAAAGTCCATATCTGCGTCTCTTGATCTTCTTCGAAGAGAGGCCAGCCTGACGGAGGGGCAGCAGGATCAGACAGAGGGCATGGGGGGACGAGGGAGGGACGGGAGGGGGAGGGCGGGAGCGAGGGGAGGAGAGGGCACGAGGGGGGGGCAAGGGAGGGACCAGGCATGGGCAAGGGGGGTCAAGGGGGTCCAGGGGAGACAAATATACAAGGGTCAAGGGGGCGAGAGCGATGGTACAAAGGGGAGGGCGAGGAAGGGACAGGGGGGGAGGGGCGAGGGCGACGAGCGGGGGGAAGAGAACGACCGCGCACGAGGAGGATCTGGGACAAGGGCAGCCTGCCGACGACGAAGCAGACCCGACCGAGGAGGAGGATTGGCCAGACCTGGGACATAATACCATCCTTCAAGAACATGAGAGCCTCTGCCCGCCAAACCGAAGAACGTTCGAGGGCACCTCCTACAAGATGCACAAAAAACATCTAACAAGCACTCAAAACATTCGGGCGCCCTCCCCGAACCGACCTCGATCTTATATCTCGGCCCGACCGTGGAAGAACCGGCGGCGTAGACTTTCCCTCTCGGAGTTCCGCGCGGATTCCTGCCATCGGCGCTGGCCCCTGCGCGCCACGGACGGGGGCCGGCGCCAATCAAACGCAACCCGCGCGGACCTCCGACAGTTCATGTCGGTGTCGCTTCTCCTCCTCCTCCTCCTTCTCCTCCTCCTCCTCCTCCTCCTCATCCTCCGAGCGGAGAAGGACAAACAGAAGCTGGAAGAGGAGGCGGAAGAGGCGGAGGAGCAGGAACAGGAGGAGGAGGAGGAGGAAGAGGAGGAGGAGGAGCAGCAGAGAGAGGGAAGCCATGTCTGGCCAGCACGGACTTTCGGCGGAAAGGGCCCACACGCTGCTCTGCACCTACGCCCAGGGCTGCTGCACCCACCTGCTGCGCGCGAACTACGAGACCGCCTTGGCGGGGGAGCTCGACGACTCGCTCTTTGGGGCCTGCGCTGAGCTGACTGGTCCCTTGAGCAACGAGCAGAAGGAGTGGCTCACCCTCCGCCTCAAGGATGGCGGCAACGGCTACCCTTCGGCCCGAGAGACCGCCGCTGGCGCCTACCTCGGTAGCTGGGCTTTCTGCTTCCGGGGCGTGGCAGCCTGCCTCGGGGCTCTCTCGGCGGAATCCGTCCGCTCCCGCTGCCCCCAGACGGCGGACGCTTGGCGCTGCGCCGAAACGGAGCTTGAACGGCAGGAGGCGAAGGCCGAACCCTTGGACTGGGCAGCCCTCTTGGCCGAGGCCAAGACCAAACAGCAGGGGGTACTGGGGGAAGAGAATCTCTTTGGCCAGACGAGCGCGGCTCCTTAGGACGCCGGACGAGGATGGCCAACTCGCACTACGCGGAGCTGGGGGCCCAGGAGCGGGGGCCTGGCTGCTTCCCCGCGTGGAGGGCGACGCGCCTCTCCCACACGCCACTGTCTGGCCAACCTGCACATGCGCCTCAGCTGCGACGTGTGCGCGCCGGGCGCGCGCTGCCAGCACCGCAAACAGGACGGATCGCTCTGCGGGGAATTGCTGGACACCAAAGGCTGGCACGCCCGGAAGTGCGGGTGCGGGGGCAGCAGGGACTACAGGCACAACTCCCAGAGGGACTGGAGCGCGCCCTGGCACTACGCCCAGACGGGCCACAGGGCCACGACCGAGCAGCGTGTCCCTGCCTGGGATCGCCAGCACCCCGGCACTGGAATGTGGGAGGAAGCCATCCTCGACGTGGCCACGCGCGACCCGGCAACCAACTCCCAGGTCGATGTGGACTGGTCCACTACCTGCGAACACAGCGACAACAACGCTCGCAGGCAGGCCAGGGCCCGCACGGATGGGGTGGCGGCGGCCCAAGCGGTCGACAAGAAGCGGGCACGCTACCCCCTTTCTGGCGGGTAGCTGATCCGGGTTGTCTTGGAGTCGGGTGGCCGGCCAGCCGACGAGTTGGTCGCCTTCGTCCACTCCTACGGCCAGGATTTCCCGGAGGCCGAAAGGCCAAGCGTGATTTCCACCACCTGGAGGAAGATCCAACGCTGTTCGGCTTTCGGCAACGCGGAGATGCTGCTTAGCGCGGTATGAGCAGCCAAGCAGCCCCACAACCACCACCAGCACGACCAACGCGACCACCACCACGACCACAACTAGCACGCCACCACCGCTTGGATGCGCACGACCGCCGCCACGACCACCACCTCGACCTGGCCGACGACAACCACCGCGACCACGAACACCACGACCACCAGAACGAGGACCACCGCGACCACCACGACCACCGACAGCCCGACGACCACCACGACCGCAACGACTACCACGGCCAGCCCCACGACCACGACCTTCACCACAACAACAACGACGACCACCACGGCGACCGCCGCCTGCCGACCGCCCCCAGCCTCCTCCCCCTCCCCCATCCCCCTCCCTGCCCCTTGCCGGGCCGCCCCTGCCGCTGCGTGCGCCCCCCGCCTTTCCTCCCCCTCCCTCCTTCGCCTGCCCCTCCTTCTCCTCCCAGTAAATAACACTTGCCGAATGCGGCGAGCGCGAGGGCGCGATCGGATCGACCATTCCGGCCGCCCCAGGGGTCCCGTTCGCGTGTGCCGGTCCCTTCTGGGAGCCCCTGGGGCCGTGGCGAGAGAGAGAGAGAGAGAGAGGGAGGGACGGAGACGGAGAGGGAGAGAGGGAGAGAGGGAGAGAGAGAGAGAGAGAGACAGAGGACGAGGGGGGACAAGGGAGGGAGGGAAGGAGGGAGGGCGCGAGGGCAGCGGTGGAGACCGCGCACCTCCTCGATGGCCTTCCAGGGCCCCAGCGGCGGACCGCCGCGGGGCAGGGGGGGCGGCGCGCCTGGGGGGCGGAGGCTCCTCGGGGGGCCTGGCCCGGATGGCGGCGAGGAAACCGCGCTCGCTGGCGCCCCGGCGCATGGGCGTGCAGTAGACGTCCGCGGGGACGACTCTGCCCCTGGAGGGGGCGGGGCTCGGCCTCCGCCTCGTCTTCACTGCACTCCTCCTCGACGTCGTCGTCCTCCTCCTCCTCCTGCTCACCCTCTGCCTCGTTCTCCTTTCTCCTCATGCTCGGCCTCACCCTCTCCGCCTCCTCCTCCTCCTCCTCCTCCTCCTCCTCCTCCTCGGTCTCATCCTCGGCCTCCTCGTCTCCAACGAGACAGTCACATGACTGCCCGAGAACCGACCATCAGAGACACACAGAGGCGGCCCCAAAACCTTCCAAGACTTCCCACATATGTGTCAGCCGAGCCTCTTCGGGAGTCCTTTGTGGAATCATCGCGCCCTAGACGGCTCCGAGGTCCCCGACGGGCCCGCAATGGGTTCACAAGAAGCCCCCGACACGGCCTAAGAGGCCCCAAATAATCTCAAAAAGAGCCCCCGAGAAGTGTCAGCGATGCCTTCACGACGGAAAACTAGGACGAATGAGGAAAGGGGTGGGGAAAGAGACAGCGACCGGGCGATCAAGACCAGCGCCAGCTCAAGCAAGGCAATGGAATGGAGCGGCTCTTGAGCTCGACGTCGTTCCTGCTGCGCTGCTGCGCTGGCACGTTGGCGGGGTTTACCGTAAGCAACTAGCTATCACTTACTCGCCTCATGGAAACCCAGTTCGTGTGGATACGGCGTCGCAGTCAAGTTCAGATTGGGCGTCGCAGGTGCTGACACGATGCCATGCGTCACACAAGTTCCCGCCCTTGCACGCAGTATTCGAAGCGCGTCGCGCATGTTTCTTCAGCGAAGATTCGCTTGTTCGCGCCTGTTCGCGACACGGAGGCGCACGCATAGGTGCCTTGGAACTCAGCAGCACCGCGTGTGGCCACGTCGCTCGCCCACAGACTGGGACACTCCTCCTCATCCTCATCATCCTCCTCCTCGTCCTCCTCCTCCTCTTCTGACCTGGCTCCTCCCGCTCGCCCCTCCAGCCCTCCGCCTCCTGATCCTGCACCCTTCCGATACTTCTCCTCCACCCCCAGCCTTCGCTTCGCCATCGTAGAGGACAGGGCTTGCAATAGATGGCCATCAACATGCTGAGCCCGCCAGCCCTCCTCCTGCTCGTCCTCGCCCTCCCCCCTCCCTCCGCCTGCGCACGTCATTGCGTACCGGAGCGATCGATGCCGCACGCAGACCCCGGCACGCTGGACAGCCCTCCCCTCCCCTTCCCTCCTGTGCCCCCGCCTCCTCAGTTCTGAAGACCCCCTTTGAGCCACCTGGCCAGCCCAGTCGCAGTCGCAGAAGCCTTGGCGCGAGGTAGCGCCCGAGCAGAGCGAACCCATAGAATCACGCATTCGAAGAGACCCGCACATAACCGCCCAGAACTCCCTCAAGAATTCCTCCTCTGCGTCCCTTTCCATTGACCTCCGGGGACCTCTGCCATCTCGCGAAACGCGCCCACAAGCTTTCCACAGCTTCTAAAACACGCAGAGCACTCCGACCTCCTTCTTCCTAAGGCAAGCTGCAAGGCACACGCACAAACACACCTGCCTGTAGCGTCAGTTGACGCGGCTGCGGCGGCCGCAGCCTCAGCCTGTATGAGAAGCATGGGATGGCACGACCTGGAGGGCCACTCAAGCCTCCCTCAACTCCACCTCCACCACATAGACAGAAAGCAAGAAGAGCAAGAGGAGGTGGACTGCCTATCCCAGCGCAAACGGCTGCGCAAGACTTCGCATTCCGCCCCCAGGGCACTCCCACCTCCTCCTCTCCCTACCTTGTCATCCGCCCCCCCCGAGGGCACCAGCGCGTGGCGCAGTGAAAGATAGTTTACGCAAACAGACCACGGTCAGCTGAGCGCTCCTCCTGAAGTTCCCTCCCCCTCTTCCTAATTACCCCATCCTCCTCCTCCCTTGCCTCCTCCACCCCTGCCTCTCATCCTGCCGCTCCTCTCCTTCTCCTCCCCCTTCGCCGCCGCCGCCGCCGCCGCCGCCGCCGACGACGACGACGACGACGACCACGACTGCGCCGCCGACCTCCAAGACCGTCCAAGGGTGCTTTCCGGCAACATGTCGCGGCGGCTCGGGACGGATGCAGCCGCGGCTGGCAGGGCTCGCCCCCCCAGAGGCCCAGAAAGTCGGAGCCGGTCCGGCCGTGGCAAAGAGGGCTGTCCCCCAAAGGCCCCGAAATGCCACAGATCCTCGATTCATCGCACCCCGAACCTCGGACTGGCGACCACGACGGCGACGGCGACGACGATGACGATGCCGACGACGACGACGCCGCCGCCGCCGACGACGACGCGGACGTCGATGTCGACGACGGCGACGACACCGGCGCCAGCAACGACAACTGCTGCGGCAGAGACGGCGGAGTGGGCGCCTTGACCATCTGGGGGCCCCCGGAAACCCTCTAAAGGTGGCGACAACGACGGCGGCGGCCGCGGCCCGGCTGGGGCCTCGCGTCCCGCAGCCGCACGTCCAAGGCCCGGGCGCCGAGCCCAGCCTTGCCCTGCAGGCACGTGTCGCGCCAGCCGCCAGCCCCGCCAGGGGGGGTGGCAACGCGCCGAGAGGCCGGGGATCCTGGCTCCTGCTCCTGCTGCCTCCTGCCTCTTCCTCGGTCCTCGAGCCCCCTCGGTGCCTCCTGCCTGCTGCCTCCCCCCTCCTGCCTCTTGCCTCCCTCCTACCCTTCCCCGCTGGCGCGTGTCGCGCCGTCCCGAACACAACGAACAACGCTCAGAGCCCTCAGAAAACAACGCTGGCCGCGACAGCGGTAGCTTGGGCCGCCAGGGCACGCGCGCCGCCGCGGGCGCACTCGAGCGCCCTCGCCCAAAGTCGTTGGAAGCCGACCGCTCTTGACCGCGAGCCGGGTTCGGCGGCGGTGGCTTACTTCTGCGGCCTAGGGCTGGTTTGCTCGATCCTCGCGGGGAAGCGTTTCCCCGCGCGCCTTGGTTCGGGCACGCAGGGTGCCGTGTCCTCCCGTTTGAGGGCCGAGGCGGACCGTCAGGCGTTTCGTCGCCATGGCCAGAGCGGCTGCCTGTGCATGCATTTCCCAACCATTTTGTGGTGTTGGGTCCTTGTTTTGAAAGGACGGTCCCCGTGTCCCTCCTCCGTCCTTCCTTCCTCCCCCTCCTCCCCCTCCTCCCCCTCCTCCCTGCGAGCCACCAACCCAATGCAGCGCTTCGTGGCCCCATGAGGAGATCCACCGATACCCCCAGCGGGGCCGCCCGCATGCGCCCCGGAAACCCAATTTGACACTTTCACCCACCCAGCTAATGAAGCGTTTCGCGGCCCCATACGGAGCTCCACCGAAGCCCCCCGTGGGGCCGCCCGCATGCGTCCCGGCACCCGCCCAGTTCAGCGCTTCGTGGCTCCATAGCGAACTCCACCGTCCGGGAAACCAATTTGGCATTTCACCCACCCAGTACTGAGGTTCGTGGCCCCATAGGGAGCTCCACCGAAACCCCCAGTGGGACCGCCCGCGTGCGCCCCGGAAGCCCCATTTGGCATGTTCACCCACCTAGTACAACGCTTCGTGGCCCCATAGGGAGCTCCACCGAACCCCCTGGTGGGACAACCCGCATGCGTCCCAGAAACAAAATTTTGCATTTTCGCCCACCCAATACTACGCTTCGTGGCCCCATAGGGAGCTCCACCGAAGCCCCCAGTGGGACCGCCCAAATGCGTCACAGAAGCCCAATTTAGCACTATCACCCACCCAATGCAGCGCTTCGTGGCCCCATAGGGAGCCCCACCGAAACCCCCAGCGGGGCCGCCCGCGTGCGCCCCAAAAGCCCAATTTGGCATTTTCACCCACCCAGTAAAGCGCGTAGTGGCCCCATAGGGAGCTCCACCGAAGCCACCCGTGGTGCCGCCCGCATGTGTCCCAGAAGCCGCATGCATCGCGGAAACCCAAGTTGGCAGTTTCACCCACCAAGTACAGCGCTTCGACGCTCCAGGGAGCACAGGGAGCCCCGCCGAAGGTCCCAGCGCAACCGCCCGCATGCGCCCCCTCCACCCAGCACAGCGCTTCCTGGCCCCATCGGAAAGTCCACCGAAGGCTCCAGCGCCACCGCCCGCATGCGCTCCCCCCCCCCCCCCCCCCCAGCGCAGCGCTTCGCGGCCCCATGGGGGGCTCCACCCAACGCTCCAGCGCCGCCGCCCGCGCGCGCCCCCCCCCGCCCAGCGCGGCGCTTCGCGGCCCCATGAAGAGCTCCGCCGACGGCACCAGCGCCACCGCCCGCATGCGCCACCCACCCAGCACAGCGCTCGTGGCCCCGTAGGAAGCTCCACCGAAGGCCCCGGTGCTACCGCCCGCATGCGCCCCCCCGCGCAACGCTTCGCGGCCCCATAGGGAGCTCCACCGAGGGCCCTAGTGACCCCAGCGCTACCGCCCGCATGCGTTCCCCCGCAACCAGCGCAGCGCTTCGTGGTCCCACAGGGAGCTTCACCAGAGGAGATATTCACAATTGCGGCGACCGCAGCTGCACGCGGCTGGGTCCTTCGCCATGATTATGTCTTTGAATTTGGCTCAGGGCGCCCAGCTCGCCACAGGGGGAGAAATATGTGACTCGACCCATTTTCATTCAGCGGCGCACTGCCAGGATGAACCCCGCGGGCCCCCGCCCGCCTCGGGGCAGGGCCCCCGCGCTACGCGGGGCACGCGGGGCGGGCGGGCGGGGAAGGCCAGCGCCGCCTGCGCCGAAAGGGCTGCGGAGGGGAAAAAGTGGAAAGGGTGCGCGGCAATTGGCGGGCTGGCCTGCTAAAGGGTCAGCAGTCAACCTACTACATGAACAACTCCAGCTTAGAGCGCCAAACTCATTGTTACTTCAATGGCGCAATGCACGGATGAGTTCCCGTGGGCCCCCGCCCGCGCCCGCTGGGGCCCGCGGCCCCTCCGGGGCGGTTGGCCGGCCCCCCTCGCGCCACCGTCGGCGCGACGGGCGGCGGGCGGGCGCCCCCGCCATTGATCCCCGCCGCACCCGACCACTGCCGCGCAGTGGGAAAGGAAAGGCGGGCTGCGGCAATCCCCTGGCTGCTGCCCCAAGCCCACGGCATTCCAATGGCACGCGGGCGCCCTCTCCGGGCCCGGGGCCCCGCGGGGCCCGCGACCCGGGGCCGCCCCCCTGGCCAGGGGGCGCCGCCGGCAACGGCGCGCGCTAGAGGCGGGCCCGGGAATTGCCCCTGGTGGGTCGGCCCATCCCAACATTAAAAATGAAAACAAGGGTAGATCGGGGCGGGCCCCCGCCCAGGCTAACGCTCCTCTAGAGCTGGTGGGCTCGCGGTGAACCGCACCTCTCCCCGTCGCCCCGGTTCGCCCCCCTCCCCCCCGAGCCCGGCGCGGCGCTTCCCGCCGTCGACTGGCGCCCTTGGGCCGACGTCGCCTCCGCCGACCCGCCCTGGGGCTCGCGCGCCCCCCGCAGGTTTGAACGGAAACGCGGGCGGCATGTCCACCTCCCATAGCGCTCGGGCCTCTCCACGTCAGTCGGGCACTGCGCGGGGCGCGGCCGTCGCCCCGCCGACGCGTGCGCGGGCGACCCCCATTGCCAGCGCGCCGCCTCGCCGCGGCGGTCCACGACGGCCTTTCCCCCGACGGGTTCGCCCCCCCCCCCCCCCCCTCTTCCCCGAGCGGGGGGGGTGCGCCCTCCGAGGCCCACCTCTGCGGGGCAACATCCTTCAGCTCCGCCAGCGCCCTCGCCGGGCGGAGGTCGCCCCCGGCCCAGTATAATGGTTTCTGCGGCAGCCGGCGTCGCATTGCTGAGATCCTCATCAGCGCCCCCTGGCCGCGTTGCTCTGTTGATTATAAATCAGCGACATATTGGTTTACCGCGCGGTGCCAAAAATCGCGCGATCATTGAATGATCGTCGCGCGCGCGCGCGCCCGCCTGCCCTTTTGGGCTGGGCCGCGGCAGAAGAAGACGAAGAGGAGTCATAAGAAGGAGAAGACGGATAATACAAACGAGTAAGATCAAAAGGAAGAAGAGGGGGAGGAGGGAGGGGGAGGATGACGACGAGAGGGAGGAGGAGGAGGATGAGGAGTGGGAGGAGGAGGAGAAGGAGCAGGAGCAGGAGGAGGAAAAGGTGGAGGAGGAAGAGGAGGAGGAGGCGGCCCGATCCCATCTGGCAGGTCATCCGAGGCGCCCGCACCTGCCAGAAGCCCTATCGCCGCGCCAGAGTCCTCGCCCTGGCATCCCTTCGGCAGATAAGGCGGAACCGGCCTGCTGCAAGCCGCATGGCTCGCGAGGCGCTTTGGGCCCCCTCGGGCCTGAGCTTATTAAACGTGTTGGAAAAAAGCATCGTGTGCTATGGCAATGGAGACGGCTTCTTCGCACGAGAGAGGCAAAGGAAAAAGAAGGGGCCCAGCAAACACCTCCGCCCCCCCACCAGGGTGGGAGCCTAGGCAGATTAGCACGCATCACTCCGAGAAGAATAAGGCAGACAAGATAGTGCACGATCTGGTCGCCAGCAACACAGCGGCATCCGAACCTGCAACCCAGGGTGGCCTGGCGGTATCTCCGTGAGGTATTCCAAGCATTACATATACTGCGCGACAGACTGAGTTGAACAAAGGGTGCAATATGCTGGCCGATCAGTTTTAGCCGAGAGAAACACAGATGGGCTTCGGGAGCCCCAACTTGGCCAACTTCAGGAAACCTCGAGGCCCAATACTGAAGACGCCTCAGAATAAGCTCAGGAAACGGAACCAGGGGCTGATGTGAGAGAACCGGCTTGGTCATTTTCATCTGGAGCCCATGCTCGAAGACGGTGGGGGCGGACGGGATTCTGGATAACCCGCGATAATTCTGGGCCATCATTAATGCGAAAGACTTGGTATAAACGGGATGTAGATGGGCATCCAGGTGGCATTCGGGGTCATCGAACGCGTCCTCAATTTTCTCGATGCAGGTGGAAAAGACCGCACGAGCTTCGCGCGTAAGAGACCTGGCCCGAGATAGCTTTCCCCCGAGGGGCTTCATTCCCACCAGCATGTGATCAGAAAGGGCATGCCGAGGAGCACATGTTAAAGATTGCAGACCGAGATGCACTTGCCAACAGCAGTCGGCCGTGGGCGGAAAGAACTGGGCGACGTACATGAGCACAGTGACCGCTATCTGGTTGCACGCCACGAGAGACATCGATAGGCCTAACTTCAAAGACTTAATGAAGCGGCAGCGGTCGCGGAACTTGACCAGTGGAGCGGCCCAAGAACCCTCTTGGGCCCTGATCCCACACATCACTCCAAGATACTTGGCACCCTTGGACATCCCGAAGCTCCGAACCCTGATCCCCTGCTGTTGGAACTTCCTCTCCTCCTCCTCCCTGTTAAAGTCGCGGTAAACTAATATCAACTTCTTTTGATGTTCGGGATGAGGCCAGCGGCGAGCCCTGCAAACATCACAGCTTTCATGGAAATAGGCACGGCCGCGTAGATGTCAAAGGCGGCGGAGGCAACATCGTCGGCGAAGGCGCCGCGCAAGTGGACAGGGCGGGGCAGCCGAAGACAGATCAAGCGTAAAATCGGATCGAATCCCAGGGCGAACGCGCTTCCCGAGAGCGGACATCCTTGCTTTATCCAGCGGAAGATCCGAACAG